ATAATGTACCTCACTATGTCCAAACAGTCGCGAAACGGCGTGAGGAGTTGACGCGGACTGTGCAATGGAGCGAAAATCGCAAAAAAAAAAAAAATCAAAAAAAATTAAATCGCAAAACTAATTACCTCAACTAATGTCCAAACAGTCGCGAACGGCGTTGAGGAGTGACCGGACGTGCAATGGAGCGAAGGTGGCGACGTCAGGCAGGCTGGAGTAGCATCAAGAGGGGCTGGAGCGGCGCTGCGAATGGAGGAGAGGAGAGGTGAAGGAGAAGAAAGAAAGAAGAAGAAAGAAGAAGGAAGGCATCTGGCGTTTAAAGCCCTAAAATTTGTGACCGACTGGTCGGTCGCAAATTTCATTAAAATCGATCACAATTTTTAACTCTGCGATGTCGTTTTACTTCGCAATAAATTTGCGACCGATTTGCGACCTTATTCTTCAGTCGCAAATAATCGGTCGCAAATCGATCTCAGATTTTATTCCTTATTTTGAAGCGCCCAATTTTGCGACGGAATAAAGCGTACTCATATATCGGTCGCAAAATAGGTCGTAAATTAGTCGTATATCTGTCACAAACTGAAATACAAACTCGCAGGAATTTTTAGCGCTACAATTTGCAACTGTTTGCAAATAGGTCGCAAATTTGCAACCGATTTGAGTCGGTCGCAATTTGCTGATTTTTTTGTAGTGCTATAGCCTTGTTCGTTTTTATTCTTCGAGAAGCAATGGTGGGAGTATTCTGCAAGAGTCCAAAAAGCATATGCACCGAAACAATAGGAAAAGGCTTTAACACCCGAAAAATAAAAAACTCAACTCTTGGATAAATGAACACGACTTGATTAATTTGGGTTTGGACATGGAAGAGAGGTTAGGTTGAAGGACAATTTGATCATAACCTTTATAATCTTGATGGACGCATTTCTTTCTTGGATGCAACAATTTATCATCTTCCTAGAATAAATAAGACCACATGCCTCTGTTATTTCTCTTGCTAATGTTGAGCAAACATAACCAAACATCTACTTTTCGTTTTATCTTTGCTTGGATTTTGAATGACGACTTTAAGAATTTTGTATCTCATGCTTAGGTGTTCCAAATGACATCTACTACAAAATTAATATTTCACTAAAGCCGCTAGAAAATGGAACCTTGAATCTTTTAGAAGTATTAAACAGAGAAAGAGAAGATTGATTGCGCGAATCAAAATTGTTGAACAAGCCTCATAATGGAATCCATCCAGTTTTTATTTATGTGATCTTGAATCATCACTTAAGGCGGAGTTGGAAACAATGCTATATATTTTTATGTGTCTGTTCTTTATTTTTATTTTCTGGATAAAATTAAATTTAAATTCCTATAATTTAATAAATTGATAATTAATATTAATTAATATATAATAATATGTTAATGGTTGTCATTTTCATTCGATTCACTGTATGTTCTCTATCATGTCAAATCAAAGAGCTAGAAATTGAATACTATTACCCATTTTGCTATTACAGTAACTTGAAATAATTTCCTATCTCCAAAATTCTTGAAAAAAAGCATATCAAGTGTAATATTGATCTTAAGAATTTCTAGAGCTTTTATAATTCCTTTGTAAGTAGAAATAAATTATTTTCTTTGAAATAATTTGTCTCCTCCCTTATCTAAGCTCTTTACGGAAATTTTGCAAACTTGAGTTACTATTGCGTGTTTGAATACAAGTTTTTTGAAGCAAAAAATGATTTCTTTATAGCCATCACAACATGCCAAATCAATGCTCATACAATGTATGAGATTATTTATCTAGTTACTCTTCACCATAGAAATTTACGATCGATAGTTTGTTGTTGGTGCATGATAAATAGGAGTTGATTTGGCTTCTTTATCTATTATTGTGGATGAATTATAAAGAGAAGGAATGATTAAAAAACTGAGAAAGAACGAGAATTATTGTTTTATTGAGTAGCTTAACTAAAAGAATTGTTGTTTGGAAAAATTATAATCATATCCCTATATTTTGTAAAACGAAACTATTTCACCCTTGTTTTTTAAAAAATAGATTGTTATGCCCTTATATTTTGAGTCCGTCATACTGCATTGCCCTTCTATCCAATATTTTCGATTTTAGACATTAAATGCCTGTAAAATGACATAATTAACCCTGAGTTCATCCCTTATTGAATTAATCTTATCTTCTCATCCTTAAGCAAACCCTAGTCCTTTCTGATGGGAGCAGGGAAATATATAGAAGAAACTATCCAAAATCGAAACAAGTACAAAAGCAAACCACACACAAATCACATAAGAACTAACCTGTTGTATCGCAGATTCGCTCACTGGTGTTCTTTCCAGATATCTTCGAATCACCCTGCAGTCTTCTGTCATCTGACCTTAATTGATTCTATGAAACCTATTTTTCTGAGTGGGCAGGAAAAACAGTATGTCTGTTTCTCGAGAGACTACTGCGTTTTTCTCTGAATGCTCTACTATCTCTAGCGTGCATTCAAAAATCAATAATATCTCTCTTATCCGCTTGGGGAGCAAACGATAAGATTAAATGTTCTGTTACCCATGCGGTTGATATTTTAAATAAAATAGATTATCTCTTTTTTTAATTAAAAATTAAAAAATTAAATTTTAATTAAAAAATTAATTTATTAATTATTTAAAAACATAACCCACGTACGGTCCAAATAATTAAGGGACAGCAGAGACCACAAGAGTAAGTTAATAAGGCTACAAATTATAATAAGAATCCATACTACACCAGTATATTCTTATTATAATTAATCATAAATTATTCCACTAAAAATTCACAATTGAACTCCTTATTAATTTAACTTTCTATAACATAATAATTTATATCTACACCAAGTATATTCTTTTATTATAGATTAAATGTATATTATTATTATAATTAATCATAAATTATTCCACTAAAAATTCATGATTGACCTCTTTATTAATTTAACTTTCCATAACATAATAATTTATGTTCCTCATGTAAAGATTACAAATGTTTGTCAAATAAAAATTAATCATAAATTATTCCACTAAAAATTCACAATTGAACTCCTTATTAATTTAACTTTCTATAACATAATAATTTATATTCCCCATGTAAAGATTATAAATGCTTGTCAAATAAAATAAATCATTGACAATTTATTTAAATAACAATTTTAATCTTTAAGATTGTCGTTCAACTTATTTCATATTTCGGATTAAAAATCCACCTGTTGGGTTTACACAATGAAACCTTATAAGCTTACTTAAATCGTATCATCATTCTCTAAACCAAGACATGAATTCTATCATTAATTAATATTTTACAAATATAAATTGTCTTTGCCCAATTCACCAAGAATTATTGTCCAATAAATGAAATTCACTCTTTAATGAACTAAAGAATAAAGCAATGTATATTTGCTCATATTAATTAAGTCAAGATTAAGAACATAAATCTTGTTTCTAATGTCTTAGAGAACATATTTTAATAGTCAGTATAAAACAATCATTCTCTATTTGGTCCAGTTAGATGCATACAAAATGTACTAACACCATTATTATAAAATATGTTGAAAAATTTATTCATTTAACGCAAATCTCCAATTAAACACATAGAAATAATTATACAAAGAAATAACACCAAAAATATACTATTACATATGCATGGTTAATAGTATATCTCTATCACTTTCAAGCAAGAATATTAAACTTTTTCTAATTCCTAAACACTAAAAGAAAATCAAATAATTAAGTACTTGAGTTAATTAAATTTCTTAAATGAAGAACTGCAAGCAGTCGTAGATTTAAGGAGTAAAAATAGAATTCTAACAAAAAAGGGCAAAATAATGCCGAGCAAAAACACTATCGACAAAACTATCCGATTAAAATCCATTGACTCACCGCCTCGGTTTAGTGAAGGATGATAGAAGTAAAGTTTTTATCCGTTTGAGGCATATCGATGCTACATAGTTCTCTAGGTGTGTAGTTTCCTACATGAATTATTTCTGGAAAATTTTACATTTTACTCTTCAAGTTTTATCATTAATCTGTATGCAATGTTCTTTTTCTGCAATAAATCATTTTTAGTAGTGTAAGGATGTCAATGACCAATTTAGATTTTACTGTTGCAGGAAGGTTATCAAGGATTTATTCATTGGCTTGTAAAGGAATAAATGTTGTTCTACTATTAAATATTCTTTGTTGCAATGATTTTTTAGTTTGCACGCAACCGTTATATGGAAGAGGAGAGAAAAAAGAAGAGGGCACTTATAAATTTAATTTCTATCTCTTTAGACCATTATATTTTCCATTGACTTGTACTTTAAAATTGTAAAAAATGGACGGAAGGGAAATATAATATAACGGATTGAAAATACTAAGATATAATAGTTTATTTTTAAAAGACGAGGGTAAAGTAGTTTCTTTTTGCAAAATATAGAGGTATAATTATAATTTTCCCTTACTGCTTTTCATCCTCAAGAATGAAAATTGAAGAATGCTGAAGATATTTGTCTATTTAACTGTTCAAATTTTTAATGATGTAAATAAAATTTTAAATGTAGGTTAATAATGTCTTTTTATCCTTCAAATGCATGTGCAAGTAATGTGAAAAGCCCAATGACACGTCATTTGTTGATGTGGCAAATAGTGGGATCCATTTTGAGACAAAAGGAAACTCCGACATGCCACATAAGAAAAATGCATTAAATTATAATTTCTTTACATGGTTACGCACTTAATTGAAAATCTTTCCATTCAAACACTAAAATAGTACAAATTAGAAAGCCCACACACCAATAATGTGATTAACTTTTCGATTGTAGCTGAAAGTTAATGATTGGCAGTATAGAATTTGCCACGAAGCAGAATTTGAATGTTGCAAGAAGCTCGCTGTGCTTGTCCAGGGAGTGTACAGTACAGGTTGCTACAATTTTAATAAAAAAATATGACTTTTTCTTTTTAATTTTTACGATTGAAAAAGTGAGGGGGTAAATTGAACTTTGGTCCAAATTAAATTCGTTTTGCTACCGGTAAACCCGGAAACTCCCTGTTCGCTTGTAAGTTGCTGCTGCTTTTCGTTCGTTTCCATTTCGAATTCCAAGCGGAAAGCGTAAAACCACTTCGTTAAGAAAGCTAATTTTATTTCTCAGTGGTATATGCCCACACACATCTGCTTCTCTTTTAATACGCGTAGAAGAGACGGATTCAACTCGCCTTGTGAACTCACTTTCTAGAATTTTGTCATCTCGATTCAGGTACTGCCATTTCCAACTTTTCCCTTTAAGAGCATGGTTCTTGTTGATCTGCAGAAGAAATTATTTCTTTGCTCCTTTTGATTTTGTGAATTTTAGGTTTTGGAGTTTAAGGTTGCTGATTATCTAGGGTTCAGCTGGAAAAATGGCTCCAGTAGAGGATCTATGGGAGCGGTTAGTGCGGGCTGCGTTAAGGAGGGAAAGAACTGGGAAAGATGCATTTGGTCGGCCAGTTGGTGGTATTGCTGGATATGTTCCCTCTTCACTCGCAAATAATAGAGATATAGATGCAATTTTGAGGGCTGCAGATGAAATTCAAGATGAAGATCCAAATGTCTCTAGAATTTGTATGTGTATTTCATTTTTATGCGGCTATGGTAATTTTATTTCATTTGCGTGTTTTACCTTTCATCTTTCTTACTTGCAGTATGTGAGCATGCTTATTCACTCGCACAAAATTTGGATCCTAATAGTGAAGGAAGAGGCGTTCTACAATTCAAGACTGGTTTGATGTCTGTCATTAAGGTGTAGTTCTAGTCTATGAAAATATTCTATTTTTGTCATTTCCACACTTTTTTTCTTTTTCGTTAGTTGGAATTCCTAGCTGTATATTCACTGAGATATGTTCACTACGATAAAACTACCCCGGAATTCTTGAATTGGTGAAGCGAAAAATAAAATGTTATGGAGGAAGGGGCGAAGTTCTGGTCCCATATCTGATGACTAAATGTGTTTCATATCCTTTTTTTCTTCTATATTTGAATGTGAAAGAAAATTACAAAAAAGAAATGATAAACTATTGTGGGGTTGGCAAATTGTGGCAAATTGTTTATGGTTTTTCACTGCTTTGGTAATCGGTTTTTGTTAGTAGTCTGATGAGATGTGCCCTAAGTTATATATTTCTTGCCATTTTATGGTTTGTACAAGTTTGGAAAATGACTTTCTTTGAAATATGTTTGTTTTCTCTTTGATCAGTAAAACATCTTTAATCAAACAACAGTTTCGAGTTACATAAATGTTGGAATTTTTTTTCTGAAAAAATATTACACAGGAAAAAAAAGTGTCTGCTGAAATATTTTATTGTGAGTTATAATCCTATAGATCCAAGCAACTTGTCAAATAGCTTCATAATCTTGTTGGTGTAACTATTTATTTTTGTTTTGTTATCCCACATGGGTTTAGGATGAGGTCTTTATTTAAAATATAAGAATTGGACAATCCTCCTCTTCTTGAGCTAGCTTTTGAGGATGAAGTTAGGCCTGGTTCATTTTATAACATAGAATCAGAAGCCTACCGTGCTTCAATGTTGGGCCACCTGCAGTTGTGTTTGCTTGAGAACTTCACGCTCCAAATGTTCATGCTTGGGTGTGAGGGGTGTGTGTTATCCCACATTGGTTTGGGATGAGGTCTTTATTCAAAATATAAGATCTGGGTAATCCTCCTCCTCATGAGCTAGCTTTTGGGGATGGAGTTAGGCCTGGTCCATTTTATAGCATGTTAAAACAAACATTAGAGAAAGCAAATGGCAAAAGGTCAATTTTTTTTTTTTTTTTTTTTTTTTTTTTGGCCAAAGATTCCTTCTACGGCAATTATTTTGACTTGAGCAAATCTCTGAGATATCAAGTGAAATGGAGTTTTTAAAGGTTTTTTTTTTTTTTTTTTTTTTTTGGCCAAAGTCTTCTACGGCAATATTTTGAATTGAGCAAATCTCTGAGATATCAAGTGAAATGGGAGTTTTTTGATTTTAAAATAGGTAGCATGGTGAAACAAGGATTAGATAATAGGTAATGGATTTTTGAAGGGCTGATATGACAAAATGGAGAGAGGAGTGTGGGCCATACCTAAACAGAGGGGAGGCAATGGCGTCGGAAAATCAAGTATCTTTTCCCCTTTGTAAGCCGAGCATATAATATCTTCTAGTTTTTTAATCTTCTTAGGCCAGACAATAGTGGCCTTGACTTAATTTATGTTAGAGCATATCTTTCAGCCCTATATATAATATAAGCGATATGTTTTTAATGCAAATTCTTTTGAAGTTTGCATCTTTTAATTTTTATTTAAATCATCAACCCCTTATTTGTTTCTTTTAGTATTACCACCCTTCAAGTATATTTTTTTTCCTTCAAAAAAATTAATTTTTATAATAAACTATTCTTTTTTCGCTATAAATTATTGGAAATACGAACTTATTATGATATTAGTTAAATTCTTCTTTTGATGTTAACTTGAGCCATTTTGTCAATTTTATAAAATAATTCACTAGTGGCAACTGATTATGTGACACCATATCGGACTCTGTTACTCAAAAACTTGATTCAAAGGAAGGGTCAGGTGTTTTGGGTGCTGTGCAGGTGAGAAATGGGTTTGGTAAAAACCACACAATTTTAGCATGTCTAGGCATAACAGCTGTTGCGGGTAGCAAACTTCTACATTGAGAATGCAAAATCACAGTTCTGTGTCAGTTAAACTTGATTGCCACTTTAGTGTGCATAATGTATTGGCAAATATTTAAAGCCTTGTATTGAACTCCCACCTCTACTACCAGTATGACCCCAATGTGGTGACATTCTTGGATCTTTCTCTTTTTTAGCATTAATTTCTGCATTTGAATTTTTATGATATCACCTGTCTGGTGCTATTTAATAATTATTCGCTTTTCCTCTTAGATATGTGCTAATATCATGTGCCTTCTTTCTTTCTCTTAAAAATTTCAGCAAAAGCTTGCAAAGAGAGATGGTGGAACCATTGATAGGAGCCAGGATATTGCTCGTTTGCAAGAGTTCTACAAGCTTTACAGAGAGAGGAACAATGTAGACAAGCTACGAGAAGAAGAAATGAAGCTGAGGGAGTCTGGCACTTTTAGTGGAAACCTTGGCGAGTATGTTTTAGGATGAGCAACAGATTTATATGTCTTTTAATTTGAGATGATCCTTGCCTTTGAGTCATGGTTTCTTTAAAATATTTAGTTTTCTTCTAATTTTTTCTACTCTCTGCTATGTTGATGGTGACATTGAAAGGTTAGATTTCAAAGTTCATTTTAGTTTGATCTGCTTCAAACTTGATTAGTAAATCATATTTCGAACTGTGACTTTAATATCCTTAGTTTGTTCCTTTATTCACCCACATTGGTTCTATTTTCTGTATTTTAATGGAATTCTTGCAAATGAATCCAATCCATTGAATGGAATTTTGTTATTATTTGAAAACAAAATTATACAGTGATAGCTGTGACCAGTACATTAGGTCTGTGATAGCTCTCATTTTTGGACATGCTATCACAATTGTCATTGCAACTGTTCTGCTTTGTTGAACTGCTTGTTAATAATTCTTAAATTTTCTCTAGAGTGTATCACAGTTATGATACAGTTTACTAGCTAAATGCGTATCCTACAAAATTTCAGAATACTGGAAATCAATTATTTGATATATATGTTTGTAGAGTTGAATTGGATTTAACATTAATGATTGTGATTGTATCTTACTTTAGTTTTTTAAGTTTGTAATGGTAATTTGACCAAAGATTGATGCATATCTAGTTAATTCAGATGGAGAACTAAGTCGCTTTCTTCTTTTTTTTTTTTTCTGGATTTATATAGCTTGATCACTTTCTATTCCAAGTTGTATGACATTCTTCGGATTTTAGTCAAAGCTACAACCTTATTGATCTTTATTGCCTTTTTGAAGCTATGTTGTGATGTTTGGCTGCCTCTTCTTTTGTTTCATAATGTTTTGTGTGCTTTTGACTTGTCAATCTAGGTTGGAGCGAAAAACAGTGAAGAGGAAAAGAGTTTTTGCAACTCTGAGGGTCTTAGGATCGGTGCTTGAGCAGCTCACTAAGGAAATCCCTGAAGAGGTTGGTTCCAATAATAAAGAAAATTTTGTATTGCATGTCATGCTATAAATTAAGTTGTATCTTTTCAATGAGGCAATTGTATATTTATTTATTTTTCATTCTGTTTTTGATACTTAAAGATGATCCCTAGATGGTATCAGAAAAGGGGGGAAAAGGGATTCAGTCATAACAATTGAAATAGAAAAATCTACAAGATGTGGAACATCAATAAAGAATATGTTATCTTTTTAAATCAATAATCAGTAAGCGTAGAGGGAGGCACTTTTCCCTATTCAACAATCTATCTGTTCCTCTTAACTAACTAAAAAATAGGGGGAAATCAACATGATATATTGTTTAGGTTTCTGTATAAGGGCAAATGAGAAATCAAAATAATATTTCTAAATAAAATGCTCTTATAGACATTCAGCTAACCTGTAACACCAAAGCTGAATGTTACAGAATACACCTGAGGCTTAAAGTATTAAATTAATGGCATCTGAATAGAGTCAGTGTGCATGTAAGTAAGAATCTAAAGTGGTAAGGAATTACTGTCATTCCAAATAAATACTATCTTAAATGTGGTTCAACAATTCTAAATTTCTCAAGTCTTTACTCTTGTTATCTTGGATTTTTGTGTTGTTTGCATAATTTTTTTCTCTCTTTTGGTATTTATTCTGTGGTAATTTTGCATGCTTAATGAAATTGTACATGGATTCTCACCCAACATAAAACATATTTTATTTGATGCTAGTTATACTTTATAAAATTGCTACATTTTTGCAGTTGAAGCGAGTGATTGAATCAGATGCTGCTATGACTGAGGATCTAATTGCATATAACATTATTCCTCTGGATGCTCCAACTATTACAAATGCTATTGTGAATTTCCCTGAGGTAAAGCAGTTTCCTTTCTTGTCTCATGTTCATGTTTTTTTATTGTCATTATGCATTTTTCATCCTACAGAATTTATGCAGGTGAGAGCGGCTGTGTCAGCTTTACAATATTTCCCTGGGTTGCCAGAATTGGCTGCTGATTTTCCTGTTCCTGCTACAAGGAATGCGGATATGCTTGATTTTCTGCAGTATGTTTTTGGGTTTCAGGTTTGTATTTATTTTTTCTGACAATATGAATTATGAGGTTGATCTATTTGTGTTCCATGTCTTTCTCTTTGGACTACTGATGATGCTGATATATAATCGTACCAGTAAGTTGTGAGAGAGGGGACCAATCGCAGCTCTGAGTACATATATGATTATAATTTTCAGAATTATAAAACTTTCCAGTAACTCCTACAGTTAGCTTTTTTGTTTAATTTTTTTGTTTAATTGTATTAGGAATCTTGAATGTATAATTGAAAAGTTTACTTGTTCAATCCTCTTAGTAATTTACTATGCTAAAATATTTGTCTGATTCGTCAGCGTTACTTTCCTTTTTGGCAATCTGATTTATTATACAGTTTCCACTCCATGGAATGGAAATTGGAAAGATTTCCATTTAATCATTTTTGGGCCGTCTTTAAGTGATATGGAGTACATTCAATTTGCACTCTGATGACTTGTTGTCCTTGTCCATCCTTTCACCTTATTTGTATAACAACGGGATGAACCTCTCTATTAAATGGACTAAAACCCGAAATAAAATAAAGCTGGTGATTCAGAATCAGATGGAGAGCTTGCAACATGACATTATTGGACCTGTGAAGCAAATCCTATTCCTAGGTTTTAGGAGTACTTATTTTAGGAAAAAAATATAAATATATAAAGAAAGGAATTGTATGGATTTGTGATTGTGTAGACCTAATTAGATTTATTCTTTCTGGTTCTACATCAACCTGTTTCAAGAATTATGAATCTTATGCTGTTGTACTGGGAGAATATGGAAGAAGGGATGGAATGTCGAAGTAGATAATTACATGTCTAGTGTCCAGAAGTTGCTTTAAGTTTGGCCTTTCCAGGATATGTGGAAGTGTGTTAAGTCAGTTTGGTTCTTTCTCTTTACTTGGCATTCTTATTCCTTCTACATATTTGAAAGAGGATACACTTTTTTTCCTGTATTTATGGGTATTTGATTAGCTGGTTCTTCTTGGAGAATCATAATGTTATAGAGAAGAGTAATGGTGCAATGAATTTAAACTAACTTGTTTCCTTCTTAGTTTCCTAATTTAATAATTGTCTTGTTCGTTCATATTATTAACATTCATTTTACCTTGAATTTTTATGTAATTCTCTTAAAAACTGCATTCTTTTGACGTACTAAGTTCACAAACTTTATGGCTACCAGAAAGACAATGTTTCGAACCAGCGGGAACATATAGTTCACCTCCTTGCAAATCAGCAATCCCGCCTTGGTGTGCCTGATGAAACCGAACCGGTACGTCTAATGCAATTCTGTTAGAAGTTTGAATGATTTATTTATTTTTTTTTGAAAGATGCTGTGTTGGATTGGTCAATAATGCCCTTTGTCAAAATCTTTTCCTTTTGTCTGTAACTTTGCAAAGTTTTGGCTGTTTAGTTTCTTGGAGAGGTATAACCTGGATTTTCCTGACAGTCCTCGATTACTTTCTTCCCATTGAATTTTTAATCATGCAAGCTGGTATTTAGAAGTACCATTCTTGTTTACTTTCTTCTCATTGGATTTTTAATCATGCGAGTTAGTAGTTTATGCTTCTAATGGTCCACAAACTTTTGAAGGTTTTTTATATTATATTAATTAATGCTATTGTTGATGGTTGACCTTATATTTGTGGTTCACAGCATATATTTTGTTGTTTAAATAGTAGCATGCATTTAATTTACTTGGGCTTGATGATTGAACTCTTTATTTTTATATGCGTTTCCATAATGATTTTAATTGGCATTGCATGTATTGCAATCACCTGTCTGGAACATATGATTACTTGGCTTAAACTTCATATCATTTGTCCTAGAAGGGAAAGACAAAAAACTTTGCTTCATGCAATACTGGGAGAGGGGTCCGCTTACATTCCATTTTATGTTTAATCTGTCTTCACTGTGAAATGAGGAGTGAAATTCAAAAAGCTTGCATCATGTTACTTCTCAGTTTTCAAGAAGTTCAATGAGATATTCATTGATTTTGATTATTATTTTTAGTGCTTTCTATAGGAAAATTCAAAAGAAGATACCAAAGGTTGTTTAATGATTTTTGATTGTTTAGCCATTGGACAATGCAGTTTGCTAATATCTATTATGTTTCCCATGCTTTGATGAGTGCATTTTCCTGTCGTACTGAATATTCAACCCTTGATTCTCGGACACAAAATTAACTAGTTCAACCATTAAACCAGTTATGACGTGCAATATGGAATCTTTGTATGAAGAAATGATATTGATAATAATTAAGAAACTACAAAATGTAGAAATTCTCATCCAAGCTTCTTATTCCTAAAATTCTTAATTGAGGAAATAAGATTAATTCCTCTACCATATGGGCTTGGATCATGTTTACATCTTGAGCTTCTCCTGTATGAGGTATACTGGACTGCATCTACTTCTCTGAAGAGGTCAATTTTAAATTATGAGAAACAGATGTAGGAGTGATGAAAGGAAGAGATTAGAAGGGAGGAAAGAAGAAATCACATGTACTAACTTTTTGATATTATCTTAATGTCCCTGGTATGAATAGGATCCATGGTTTGCTAATCAACTTTGACTGTTCTTTTTGTTATCTGTTGGACTGCAGCTACATTCTGCTTCTTCATATATAAGTATTTCATTACTTACAAATTTGATGATGGGATGTAAGGGTACGTGTGTTGGTATTGAGAGTGTGGCTCATTAGCAAATGCAGCTTCTGGGGCATTGATATAATATATTGCTACAATGTTAGAATTTCCTTTAATATTGATTGTTACCCAGACTAAATTATGTTAACAACATCAAGTAATATTTTGATAAACAGAACTTCAGTAACACAATGATTTTAAAAGGAATCTCATCGGATTGTTAGCAACTTAAACCCAACATCTTTGCTTGTCGAACAACATCCAAGTTATAGGAGCAAAGGGAATGAGAGCTAGAGCAAAGATGGTATACGATGATAAAAAAGGATTTAAAATTTATGGACTTTGTGAAAATATAAATCTAATTTAGTAGAATAAAGGGAAAAGATCCATCAGAAGCAATGAATTAGAATTGAGACAGAGTTGTTTTCTACTTATTTTTTCCTCAACTAATTGCAAGATGATCATCCATCGTGTAATCTTGAGCTAAAAATCCCTCAAGTTGTTGTCATAAATTTAAAAATATCTTGATATTTTAAGATTTGGATGGGCAGAATCTGTGATGCTTGAAACAATAGCATTCTGGTGTACATTTGGAGGCATTTGAATGGGAAAAACTAGGATATCGCTGCTGGATGGCTCATGGGTTGGTGGTCTATTGAGAATCTGGCAATCTCTGGAAATCATAGGGCATTTTGCAGTAAGATATGTGATAGGATTCTGATAGATCAGAAAGTTTGGGTTTTATAGTGGTGTTCTGGATGAGTGGAGGTGCTCAATCATGGAGATCTGCGAAGTTAAATTTCTTAAGAGAATTCTGTGAGTTTCCTTCAAGATTCTGGCATGATGTGACTGCAAATATAATGATTGATGGAGGATGAGTCTAATAGTGGAGGTGACCATAAGGATGAAGTTCAGTGCTGTTGGCTCCTTGAATGTTACTAGGTTCTTGGGTTTATTGTGGTTTTGAAATCTGGTTGTGGGTCTTATGGTTGACATTTCTTCTTCTTCTCTCTCTCTGTTTTTTTTTTTTTTTTTGCTGTGTGGCTCCTTGAATGTACTATGGTTCTTGGGTTTATTGGTGGTTTTGAAATTGGTTGTGGGTTTTATTGGTTGACAATTTCTTCTTCTTCCTCTTCTCTGTTTTTTTTTTTTTTTGGGTGGGGACAACAGTGCGGGAGGTAATGGGTTTTAGCTGTGGAACTGGGGTGCTTATGTTTTTTTTTTTTTTTTGGGTTGGGGGACAACAGTGCGGGGTAATGGGTTTTAGCTGTGGAACCTGGGGTGCTTACATGCAAAAGCAATTTCAATTAAACCACAACCAATTATACCACTGGCTACAGTCCTTTATGTAAAGAAATTAAATGCATTTATTTAGTGATGTTAACAAAATGTAAAATTGATTATTTAAGTGTCTTATTTCTGGAACATCTAGGCAGAAAAATTACAAAAAGTGAAAATGTGTCTTTCTTTCCAACACAAGCTTGGTCAAGTTTAGGACTTGGGTTTTGCATGCATTACTAGTTTGACAGTAATAGTACTTAGTTGTCACAATTTGGCACATGCATCAAGCCTATAGGCTCACACAATCATTCAATATTCTAGTAATATGGTTTGCTGGTTCTTTCTAATTATAGAAAGGCTCTAGTAGCTGCTTTTTTTTTTTCTTCTTTTTTCTTTTTAAATCTAATTCATTTTAAAAAAATGTGATCCTTCACTATTTGCTACTTGGCTTGATTTGCGGCAGAAATTGGATGAGGCTGCTGTACAGAGGGTATTCATGAAGTCATTGGAGAATTACATTAAATGGTGTAACTATCTACACATTCAACCAGTTTGGAGCAAGTATGTAATTCAAACACGTATTATGCCGCTGGTGAAATTGTAATTTTTATTTCTCAACTGATGACAATGATTGGCAACTACTTTGTCAAAATGTTGTATTGCAGTTTGGAGTCTGTTAGCAAGGAAAAGAAATTACTCTTCCTTTCGCTGTACTTTCTGATTTGGGGGGAAGCTGCAAATATTAGATTCCTTCCAGAATGCCTGTGCTATATATTTCATCATGTACGTCAATTCTAAAGAGTTAGTAGTCGTTGGCTTTATTGTGCTGCATGTGCATTATTCTCTAAGCAGATGCTTTTTTTTTTTTTTTGTTTTTCTAGCTTCTTTGAATTTTTTGACACTAGATGAATGTATTTCTCATCATGGACTTCTGTTATTCTGAATTTTCTTTTTTAGAATTATTTTTATCATCTTGATGCATCTTTTCTTGGTTCTCTCATTAAATGCTGGAATTATCATTGTTTAATTGTATTAAAAATTGTTGTCCAATTTTTGTACTGATCCTAATGTTTGAATTAAACTTGATATGCAGATGGTTAGGGAAATGGATGAGATTTTGAGACAGCAAATTGCACAGCCTGCAAATAGTTGCAGTTTTGATGATGGAACATCTTCTTTCCTTGATAAAGTTATTGCTCCTCTCTATGAAGTTGTTGCAGCAGTAAGTGTCATGTTTGTCAGTGACATTAATTTGTTTACGATTTTCTATTTTCATATTATGAAGTGTTTCATCTCCTCACAACTACTGCCAAAATAAAAAAAGCAAAAACATAGAGGTGGATCACAGTTCATTTACGTTTTGGATATCTTGTTAATATGATGCTAAATTTTTCTGTCTGGTGTTTGATTACAGTTTTATGTTTTCGTTTTTGATGTCTTAGACAATAAAGCTTAGGGAGTCAATATTGTAATACCTTGTCTTGGAACATCTGATGAGTAAAATTTATTCAATGGATTGTATGTTTGGAAAGTTTAGAAAGTCCATGCTATGCTAGTTCTTTTTTTTTTTTTTCCTTTTTGGTCCAATGCTAATAAATATAGTAGATTGAGTTTTTTCCCTTCACTCGTGGAAACCCGCATCAAAATATGTTTTTGAAGAATGCCACATATTGATCAGAACATATCATTTACAGAAAGTGTGCTTCCTGACTTTTGAGGGTTGTAATAGGTGGAACTTCATGATCCTCCGTAGTTTTCCAGTAACTTAAGTGATGCATATTTTTCTCTTCTGTTTTCCAACTTGCTTTTGATATCGTGTTTTATGGAAATGAGAATTTGCTCATTTTTGATGTTCTGGATATGTTTTCATTAGATTTTAAATTTTTTATCTCGTTTTACTGTTTGGAGACAAGTTGGGATCTAGTCTTACTGGACATTAGTGAGGATGTGGCTATAAATAGAGCATAATAAAAGTAGAGGTTTCATATAGCCAATCCAACTAGTTTGGGATCATGGCTTAATTGTTGCTGTTCTGCCTGGATTTTGTGTTTTGTTATCATGTTTATCCAGTTCTTTGAAAATTCTATACATCGACATATTTTATTATTTTCGATTGTGGATTTGGCTCTGGGTACCAAAGATGTGAACTGCCCTTTGCTTTAGTTGAGGAGTTATTTCGGTGGAAAAACATAATTAAAAGGACTGTTTGCCATTGAATTTGGCAAACAAAGAAAGGATTATCAGGTGACCAATGTCTTGTGGAATATTTATATAAAACACAACAGACTTCTAAATCTTAATTATGCTCAAGTTGTCTATCCTTCGAACAAAAGAAATTGGCAGGAGAACCATGGCTACTTGTAGGTACTTATATATAATATGACTTTAGCAATTTCATATTGGGATATTCTGTATGAATAATTGCATTAAATAATTAGTCTAAACTTTTTGTCTTGTTAAGGTATACGTGTAATTTATCAAGTAAGTATATATATATATATATATATATATATATATATATATATATTATTGTTATTATTAATTTTTTTTTTTTTTGGCTTGGTATTTTTGAGTGGGGCCAAATTTTTTTTGGCTTGTGTATTTTGAGTTGGGGCCAAGTTATTCATTTAGGAGGTTGGTCTTTGTAATCTGGTCATTGCTGTTTGATTCTCATGGTGATTGCTGTACTGCATCCTTTTATGAAGCTTACCTTGTCGTGGATTTCGATGCTTATTTAAATTAAGGAATATATGTTTCAGCAATTTTTCCACTTTTGGGATAAGAATTCCCTATTTGTGCATGGTAAAAACTAGCGACAGATTGATAATCATTTTCATGTTAGTCAGTAAAATTAAAGGCAATTTTATATCACACAACAGTTTTGTTTCTTTAATATTTTTCTTACCTGCAATAATATAAAGGAAGCAGGAAACAATGAGAACGGGCGGGCACCACATTCTTCATGGAGAAACTATGATGATTTTAATGAGTACTTTTGGTAAGATTTCTTTTAACATTGAGTGTTTTCTAACAGCCGTAGAAAACCCAGTGACTTTTCTGAAATGAATTCAGTTTATGAAATTCATGCATTTGGACAAGAAGTTAGTCTGAATTGAGTTGCTACTTTAAATTGGATGTGTCTACATAAAAGAATCAATTTTTCTGTTGGTATGATTTGTCAATTTATCTGTAATTGACAGTACTTGAAATGGTCCAGTTACAAAATTTAAATTATGTTCACACTTTTACCTGTTTAAGTCAAGGCTAGTAAATGAAATGAAAATTACATTTTGCTTTTCTAATTTATATTTTGTTCTTCAAAACAACCAAATCGAATTCTGAGAGTATTCCAACTAATTTTATGAGTATAAAATGAATAGACCACAAAGTTATTCATCCTTGATTTGCCTTTGAACATAGTAAAACTTTCTTCTCTATTCTTGACTGACTTTGTCTGCTTCTGTTTCCATTTTTCAGGTCACTTCATTGCTTTGAACTTAGTTGGCCATGGCGCAAAAATTCATCCTTTTTCCAAAGACCTAAACCAAGAACAAAGGTTCACAACTTTCCAATGTTAATTTCACTTTTTGATTGTTCAATTGTCTCTGTGTTTGGTTCGGTCTTTTTCAGACTTAGTCTTTGTGACCCATGCATGAGCTTTTACCATCCCCATGGGAACACCTTTAACAGTTGCCAGGGTCCTGAATGATATATTAATCTTACCTTTGTGATCACAATAATCTTATTCATGGTTGTATCTAGCTGTGTAGCTTTTTGAAATTTGGATTTTCTGTCTTTTGTCAAGCAATTCCCTGTAAATGGTCCTAATCCTCTTGGCAGAACCATATTACAGTTGTTTCTTAATAGATTTTCTTTTGTATTGATAAAGAAAAAAGAATAAAAAGAAAAAGAAAAGGAAGGCATGCCTTTTCTGTTGGCAATCAACCTTGCAGCAGAATATTTGGTCATTTTGTTAACATACAATTCAAGTCTTTTCAGCTGTCCTTTTGGTAATATGTTAGAAAGCTCAATGCTTTGAGACACCATTTTGCGACAATTCAATTTAGTTTATTCAACTATTGAGTGGAATTTACAACTACTGGATTGCTTGCTGATTAATATTTGAAAAACCAACTTGTTGGATTGTAGCTGGGATGAGAATAGTTTGGTCATTCATTCGGCTTTGTTACCTTAAGGTAGCCTTGGCCATTGACTGGTTCCAGTTCGAGGAATCTCTGAAGGGTGGATCCAGTTTGGGCTGGTTATTATTATTATTATATTATTATTATTATTATTATTTTAAATTGTTTGTTTGTCCTTCTTTTTTTTTTTTTTTTTTTTTTTTTTTTTTTTTTTTTTTTTTTTTTTTTTTTTTTTTTTTTTTTTTTTTTTTTTTTTTTTTTTTTTATCATTTAAACTAGAATTGGTTTGGAATTGCTGGTTTGGGTTGGTTTGGCAGGGGATGGGACTGTTGATCTGGTACCTCTAGGTTCTAGTACCTGGCTGGAACCATTGACTCAGTCCTGGTCTTGCTTTGACCCAGTTCATTTCCGGTCTGGTTTAGGCTTGTTGGCAGCACCTGTCTAGGCCTACTTATTGTGAAGTGCGTTAGCTTATACTAAATTGCTGAATGCATCTGAACACACATCCATTAAGAATTCACGGTTTGATTTTTATCAACCTTTTTGCTTCTTTAAGGTTGGGCATGCTCGGTATTGAATTTGCAGCTAATTTTCAGAACTCCATTTTTGGTCTTTTCAAATATTTTTTACTATGTTAAATAAACCACGGTTTAGGGAAAACTGGAACACCTAGTCCTTATTTAGTTGTTGCAAATATTTTTTGTTTTTATTTTCTAGTTTTCTTCTCCATCTCTTAGGGTGTGTTCACTTACAGAAAACAATTCTCTATTTTCTATTTTTTGTTTTCTAAGAGAGCAGTTTTCTTAGAGAATGAAGAATAGAAAAAAGAAAGTGGAAAAGACGTTGAGTTGTGAATAATAAAAGAAATTTTTACATTCAAAGATTAAAAAAAATTATTCATAACTTTAATAATTATAATAAAAGATTAAAGAAAATATTCATAACTTTATATAAATAAAATATTATAAAGCATGTTCAAAAACTTTGTTTTTATTTTAAATTTTTTTATTTGGTATTATTTATAAGAATGTTATCAATTTATGATTAATTTGTAAATTTTTTTGAAATTAAATATGATCATTATAGATATTAAATTTTATGATAATAAAACTTATTAGATATTAAAGTACAATATAAAAATTGAAAAATAAAAATATATAACTTAAAATTTAAAATTAGTTAAATATTTTTTATCATTATTCAACCAGAATATATATTTTTTTATAAAAGTCATATATGTATATTATGGATTTTAATTATGAAAATTTCCTTTTTTTACAATGGAAAACAGTTAAAATCTTGATTTCCATTATAAAGGAAAATTGTGAAAATCAACTTAAATTTGTTTTCGAATTCTTAATTAAGTTTTGGAAAACTGGGAAACTAGTCTTCCAAATCCAGTTTTCCAAATGGGAAACTGACATATATGAACACAAAACTTTGTTTTTAAGTTTCCTCGGAAAACCTTTCTAGAAAAGTACTCCAGTTTTCTGCAGGTAAACATGCACCTAGATTTTAATTTTCCATTTTCCAAATGAAAAATTGGAAAACTGAAAAATTTTTTCATTTTTCAAATAGTTTCTATTTCCTCTTTGATAAGATTTTCATTAATATTTTTTTTGTCAAATTATCTCATTGAAACCGCCAATTCTTTAAATATAAATATACAAATAGTTTCACAATTTTTATTTTTCAAACTGAACATATTTTGTTCTGAAAACTAAAATTTTCAAATAGGAAACTATTTGTGTTAAAAATTTTTATTTAGGTTAATATAAAATTTTTTATGTTAAAAAGAATTTATCAATTGAAAATAGGAAGCATGAAGAGTAACATTTATTTAGGTTTAATCTTTGGATTTTTATTTGAAAAAATCTATATTTTCTAATTTATTTTGCTAAATAGAAAAAGGAAGGGGGAAAGAGAAAAACTAAAACATTGCTGTTGGGTTTTGTACCCTTGCAGTAAGTTGCCATAAACAAGATGCTGAGCTAACTGGTTTAGCACCACAAATTCTGATTGAATTTTAACATAATATATTTGGATATGAAAGAAGATAAGTAGAAAAAAGAAAAGGAGGGAGTGTCATTACTGGGATCCGAAATTACTTCAAAGACTCCAATGATTTGGAGTGTCTAAGGTAGGGCCAGGAGGGTCTCTTAACGCCTTCTTTTTTCTTCTCATTGGAGTTATTTCAAAAAGACTTTCCATGGTAAGGAAGAAGGGGAGAACAAGCACACTTGGAGAGCGCAGTACAACGAAGAATTGTACTGTATTTTTTACAAATCCTCTTTATCTCATTGTTTTGAAGGAAACTCTGGAAACAATAAAAAGCGAGTTCTTTAAATCTTAATTATACTTGGAAATTAAAGAATGAGTTTTTTTTTCCTAATTATCTTGGAATCATTCTCTGGAAATCCAGGATTGTGTTCCATAAGCATCCATAAGCAAACATAACCCTAGCGTTCTAAAACAATGTTTTGCAAAGCCGTACACTGCAAAAGCAGTTTGTTCAAAGCTGCCTAACTACATTGCTAAACAGATGCTAAATTTATATTATCAGTGGTTATATATCTTGGTTAGGTCCACTTCTGAATTTACTCTGTTCGTGTGTCTTACATGCTCAATTTCTGGCGGGCTGTGCAAGATAGTCTCTTGTACATAATTCCTTTATGAAACATTGACATTGATAAAGTTGTGGTTTTATTGCTCTTCAATTACCATGTCTTTTTCTTCTATATCATTTGGATGTTATATTATCGCGTTTCTTAGCTTGCTTTCTTCCATCTTTGTAGTATCTGCTTAAAACTACTGGAAGTCAACGACGAGGGAAAACTTCATTTGTTGAGCACCGGACATTTCTTCATCTTTACCATAGTTTCCATCGTCTGTGGATATTTCTTGTTATGATGTTCCAGGTTAGCCTGTCTCTTTCGTGTACTGCACTCGAAATGCTTTTGGCTCTGCCTTCTGTATCACTGACACTTTTCTCCAACTGCATACTTTCTGGTTTTTGTAACCAAATCCATTTGAGGTGCTTCTTTTCTCACTTATAAAGTCTTAGTACTCTTATGGGTTGCAAATATTTTTTTCTGTGTATCCAGGGACTCACCATCTTTGCTTTCAATAATCAAAATTTCAACTCCAAGACCCTGCGGGAAGTTCTGAGTCTCGGTCCAACGTTTATGGTCATGAAGTTTTTGGAGAGTATGATTCTTTATTGCATAAACTGATTTTATTATTTTTTTTAGTTAGTTAATTTCTAATGGTTGCGAAATGCTATGGATGACTGATGTGAAAGTGTTTTTTATTGTATGCTTATACTAATTTGTTTTGATTGCTGAAGTTTTGAACTTATTGATCTAGGTGTATTAGATGTAATCATGATGTATGGCGCCTATTCTACAACACGTCGGGTAGCTGTTTCCCGGATTTTTCTTCGTTTTGCTTGGTTTAGTGGTGCTTCAGTCTTTATATGCTTCCTTTATGTGTATGTTATGTCTAACCATAATTTATCCTTTTAACTATTTTATGCTTGTCATGTATGAGTTATAAGTCACCTTGTTTCTATTTATTTTGCCAAAATACAGGAAAGCTCTTGAAGAAGAGAGTAAACAAAATTCAAGTTCAGTCATTTTCAGATTGTATGTGATCATTATAGGCATCTATGCTGGTGTTCAATTTTTTATTAGTTTCCTCATGCGGATACCGGCTTGTCACCGCATGACTAATCAGTGTGATCAGTGGCCCGTAATTCGCTTCTTAAAGTGGATGCGACAGGTTTTCCGTTTCCTTTTAATTCTCTTATTTCTTCTTTCTGGTGGTTGTTTTTTCTTCTAATTCTTTTTGTATCTGGTTTGGGCATATATATGTTTGTGTAAATATGAATGCATGTGTTTTATTTATTTATTTTGGTTACCTGGTGTATTTCTCAACCTTGCTGCTTTTTTTTTCTTCTTTTGCTTTTGAAGGAACGGTACTATGTTGGGCGTGGCATGTATGAGAGGACCAGTGACTTCCTGAAGTAATCTCTCTATCTCTCACACACGCAAATGTGTGGGCTTGCTCGCTTTTTTATATTTATTTCTTTTTGTGAGAAAAAGACTGAAGAAAGAACATACAGTTAAAGCTAAAGAGGAATATTTTTCTAGTTTGTTGGCAACACAAAGTTCTATGGATACAAGCAGGGGCAGAGCTAGACTTTAGAACTTGGGGAGGTGAAAATGAAGAAAAAATTTTTTTGGTACTGAATTATAAAGCAAAATTAGAACAAATTCTAGAGTTTTGGGGAGGCCAGGCTCCCCCCAGTTCCTCCCTCCTCTCCTGTATACAAGAATGTTCCAATTCAGGGTATTAAAAATAGACCTTTCAGTAATAGATTTATAGGGTGATTTTTTACTTTCCTGTTTGACGGGGCTAATATGAATTCACACCTATATCAGTTAGACATGCTGATTTATGGTAATGGCCTGGATAGAAGCCAAAAAGAGAAGAGGGTGTGGGGAGGTCCACATAGTTCAAAATGATTATCAGGCATAGATTATGAATTATGTTTGACAAAGAAAAGAATTGTTCTGAATTGAAATCACAATTTCTTTTCAATCAGTAGTTATTTTAGATGATGAAGCTTGAGTGTAGTTTTATCTTCTGTATTTTGTTAAATGTTTGTTAAAATCTGACTTTGAGTCCTGCTATGAATTCGTCAAGGAACGTTCATGGTTGTGCTATTTAATATGTTACTCTTTGGTTTATGTGGCCTTGTATGGTATCATGGGTGACTGATCTGACAAATGATCTGCATTGAAAACCCTGTTTCCAATGAAATCTTGACAATACTGGCTCCTGTTCTGTCATCAATGAGAATATTGGAAAAAATGGTAAAGCAGAAAACTCTTAAACACAGCACAAACATAGACACAAGTTCCGTAAACTGAACCTCTTTCACGAGGGCTCTTTCATTGATTTCTTTAGTGTTTATGTAGTTCTCGTTACAGAATAGGAATTACAAAGGGCAGGTTATAAGCATTCTTTACCATGATGGTACTTCCCATATACTCAGATTACTTAAACACTCAAGCTAACTGTACCTGCTGCCTAACCCCACTAACTTACTGGAACTGCAAGCTCTCTTAACTGAAAATTAATATGCAGATTTCCTTCCAAAATACAAGACAACTAGAGAGTATCTAAGTAAATTCTCAATTCTCAACAGAAAAAGGAAAAAGATAAGAGGAGTTGCAATATTGCATGTCTTATTTATTTATACTTTACTCTCTGTTCACAGTTCGTGCGATAGACATTTTTAGACATACTTAAATGATACTTTTAAGCTGTTCTCATTTTGCAGGTATATGCTTTTTTGGCTTGTTGTTCTCAGTGCAAAATTTGCATTTGCCTACTTTCTCCTGGTTAGTGATATTATATTCCATCATTTATAATTTTCTTGCGGTTAGTTCGACAAAATAATAGTTGGTTACAGTTTGGGGACCTGGGTGATCAACTCCAGGAGGGAACGCGAGATGACGAGTACTTAGTTATTTTTTTGACTCATTTCTGGATTTTTTATTGGCAGATCAAGCCATTGGTGAAACCAACAAAGCTTATCGTGAACATGACCGATAATCTGCAATATTCGTGGCATGATCTAGTATCCAAAAGTAAAGCTACCTTATATATTTAACCTTGCATGATGCTTATGTCATTGAAATTCAACCTGTGTTATCATTATGGTCGATTTTTTGTTAGTACAACTAATATTTATGCTGGGCAGAATTTTTGACATGATTTATCTCCATTTGAATGTAAGTGGTGTGCAAGAGATGTGAATTTCAGTTGTTTTATGCTGTGGGTGAATCTTGTTATTACTTATTGGCAATACTTTTGGGTAATTTTTAATACTTTATGTTTTGCTTTATTAATTTTTTATCACGAGTCAATGTGCTAACAACCTTATCAACATCAGATGCCATGTTTTTGAAATTGAATTGGGGTTTAAGTATTTAATCCAAATTGTTGATTTGCAGCCATTGAGAGTAGGCTTTCAGCATTTGTTGGGAGTTATTTTTTCTCTTTCTAATACTAGTTTTGTTATCTATGAAATAGAAACACCTGTTAAGAGTTGTTTTGCCTTAAACAGATACATTCCTTTTTTTTACTTTATAAATGACTGCATCCCCAGTAATGTTGTTTAATTTGTCATGCTCCCTAAATGTTGTGTAACTTGTCATCATGCTGTCTGTTATGATTTGGCTGCTTAGCTGTTTGTGAATTCTATGATCTGTACTTGCAGATAATCATAATGCCTTGACCGTTGCGAGTTTATGGGCTCCTGTTATCTCTGTAAGTAGCATTTCATTCCAACTTGTCATTCTTACTCTGATAGTTAAAGAAAAAGAATTTGCGTCCTAACAGTAAATCATCCTTCCCTGGCAATGATAAGTTTGCTATTATTGCTTCAACTATAGTATTATCATTTTGAAGGAAGCCAGTGAGCTAGTTTTTAACACTGGCTTTTTCCTTTTCCATTATTTTTGGCCTGGCAGGGGTCAGTCCCTCTAAAGGTTTTTTTCTCTTGTCTCATTACAAATAGCCTCCATTATTTACATGTTACACCTATTCAAGCTACCTATCTTCTTGTCATCAATACTCCCATTCCACTTTCATATTAAGGAAATTATTCAGTGCACTGGTGCAGTGTATTCTCACTTACATAAATGTAGGATTTGCTTTCCTTAAATTTTGGTGAATCCCATGTATTTGTGAGTGCAGGGTGCGCTCAGTAATTCCCCTTTGAAATATGCCAATGCTTAGGCAGTATGAGGTTGATCAAATATCAAACAGTACACAATTTGTATTCAGTTATCCTTATGCTGTCTATCAAGATATAACCCTAAGATTTTTCCTCTTCTCTTACATGCAATAAATTTATATTATCAGTTAAAACTGGCAGACAGAGATATAGAAGCACACGCCACAAAGAAAACCCATCTTCTTGCCAAATTGTTTTCCAAGGGAATGTACTACCATTTTCCCCTATTATTTAGTTGCAGTACAGAATATGGAATCAAAAGAAATTTAATTACCAGTACAAATTCCTTCAACCTTCACTATATCCTTGACCATTCCTCTTTGTAAGACCCACATAAGAATAGCTCACTCTATCCCTATACTGAAATGCCTATGCAAGATTTGGATAGTTGTTGCCAGACTATAATGAATATCTGTGATCTTCTGCAATACAAAACAAAATCAGTAATACATTTGGAGTTCAAAGAATAAATAAATTAGATAAATAAATAATTACTAAAACAATAAATTAAATAAGTAAATGAAGCAGAGAGTTGGTTGAATAGCCTGTTGCTGAATTTTTGAATGTGGTAAAAAATTTCTTATTTCCTTGTCTGACTTGTAGAATTTTGTTTTGTTGTTTTCCTTCAAATGTGACAGATATATCTTTTGGATATTCATATATTCTATACAATCATATCTGCCATATGGGGATTCTTGCTTGGAGCAAGGGACCGCCTTGGGGAAGTAAGTTATTTAATATTTCTGCCATTTTATCGCAATGCATCTAGATTAGTGTTGTTCTTCATTTATTTATTTATTTATTTTTTATCTACTTTTGCCCTCTTGCTTTTTACGCGTAAATGTGCCACAGGAGCAGGACAGCCCACACTACTTTATATTGAAGCTAGATTTTGGGTGATTTGGAAGCTAGGTTTTTTGAAATTCGGGCAGACAATTAGTGAAGAATGGTGGGAATTGAGAAGTGGACTTAACAATAAAGAGAAATTTTTGAATGTTCTGCATAGGCACTTTGAGAAGTAATGTGATAAAAATAAAATAATAGAATTTAGCTACACACCTGAACTTTCTTAGGCATTACTCAGGGTAGAATTGAATCACGCGATGAAAAGAAGTGTGGCTCATAGTATTTTACTCAAAGGCTAATGTTTTCATAAATCCTGAAGTTGTACCTTTTAAATTCTATCCTGTACTTTTAGTTTTATACAATAACCAAGAACATTTTAGAATTAATTTTGATTGTATCCAAGCGCAAATGGCATGTGGCGCCATTTACGTGGCATCTTAACTGGACTCAGACCTTCATAAATTTGTTAGCAAGGTTTGTGGGCCCCAAAAACAACCATTTAAACCCCATTTTGACTCTAAATGTTAGTGTTTTCTCTTAGCTCTTCTAATCCCTCTCATCCACACGCAAAGACAACGTAAACAACACTGAAGAATATTCAGCTTACTCTCTGATTTATTTTATAATGTTGTTTGGCTGGTTTGTGGTTCACATTTTGGCAAGAGAGATAAAGTGGATTAGGTGAAAACACTACCAGTTAGAGCTGAAATGGGATACTACTCCAATCAGACGTCCAACTAGTATACCAGGTTGGCTGTGAGCCATGCTAATTGATTCTTGGATAGAATTGAAACAAATTTACAAGCTTGTGCGTTCAATGGTAAAATTATAGAATTGACAAGGTGTGATGGGATCAGATTCTCAATACAATTAGCCCTTATTCAATTGCAGAACTGAATTACCAATTCCCATCATAGATATAATAGGCTCAAACTAAATAACTAACCTAAAGCTTTAAGGTAAGGCTTTTGAAACTGTTCCTAATCCTCTGAAGATTTGGGCTCCCTTATAAAATTGGAATTATCCGACTCTTTCAGAGGGAATTACTTTTCTTGCTCATGTTTCATGTTTCTCATTGTTAAATATTTCTTGAGTTATAGGAGGATATATTATCCTTCATAATTTAATCTCATTTCTTCTTTTTGGATAATATTTTTATTTATCTGAAAAAGATGATTTTATTCCACACAAATGAGGATCCAAATAAGACTTGAACATAACAATAGACATACAGACAGATCTTTCAGCAAAGCTGGAAATCATTAACTTATCCCTAAGACTTAAAAGTTGTGAAGTACTAGATGAAGCCAACTTATAAACATTAATACAAGACTTAAAAAACAGGACTAAAAGCTACTATATTTTATCTTTAGTAATTCCCATATGATATATGGATTATAATTCTAAGCTTCTTGAGTCTTGGAGATTGAATTTCCTTAAATTACTTATAGAAATCAGAATAATTGTTTGTAATTTTATTCAATGGCGAATACTTTGTAAGTCTTAATTTCGAGTTTGGTTCTCTTATTTTCATTTGCCTTTCATTGATTGAGTTCTTTATGAAGACGCTTTTATGATGTAATATTTACAGATTAGATCTTTGGAGGCTGTTCACAAATTGTTTGAGGAGTTTCCTGGGGCTTTCATGAGTACTCTTCACGTTCCACTTCCCGATAGGTAGGGTTTTTTTAAGTGTTCTTTCTCATCCAATACAATCACAATCTTTACTTCTTCTAATTTTTTCTTCTTTTGCCTTGTGTTTGAAAATTAATCCATCATTTTTTATTTTATGCTGTTACTTTTGTGCTATAACTTGCATTTGATAGTTATTTCAATTTTGCAGGGCATCTGAAAGCGCTTCTGGTCAGGTAAATCCATCTAAACTTCAAAATTTTGTAGACATTCCTTTTCCACTCCTATATAATTTATGTTGAGTTCACATGTGACAATAGCTAAGCTTTAATCCCAAACTAGTTGGGGTTGGCTATATGACTTTTGTGTTTCCATTTAACTTTTGTTCATAACTAAGTCCTTGTTAGTGCCAATAAGTAGTAGGTCTTTTGAAACAACTTCCCTCCATATGGGCCTCGGTCTACTTCTTCCCTTTTAACACACTCCACCATCAATATATCAAGCTTACAAATTCGGGGCATGTAAGGTCTATATAGGACACGAATAAACCATCTCAAACATCCTCTCACTTTATTCCCAATGTTTGCTACATACATCTTTTGTTGGATTAGGTTAAATCTTATCTAATGTTCTGTGATCACAATCCATTTAACATCCGTATTTCTGCAACATCCATTTTTGAATATGTTGAACCTTTGGAGCCCAACATTATATTCTATATAACATTGCTGATCTCACCATTCATTGGTCCATTTCATCCATCTAGTTTTAATTCTGTGTTACATCTTCATTTACTATGCCATCTTTTTGAAATACAAAGCCTAGATATCTGAATTGACTGTAATCAGGCACCACAATACCATTCTTCTTATGGAGGCAAAACTTGCGGTCTCTGTCGAATAAATATTTGATGGCATGTTGTTGTTCTATGTCTAGAAATTTTTTTTTTATTCTGCATTTGTATTTTAATTTTCTTGTGTTTTTTTTTTTTTTTTTTTTTTCATTGGGTCCATTTCAATTCCACATATGGTTAATTTCTGTGTTACATTCTTCATTTACTATGCCATACTTTTTTTGGAAAATACAAAGCCCTAGATATCTGAATTGATGTAATCAGTTCACCAAATACATTCTTCTTATGGAGGCAAAACTTGCGGTCTCTGTCGAATAAATATTTGATGGCATGTTGTTGTTCTATGTCTAGAAATTTTTTTTTTATTCTGCATTTGAGTATTTTCAATTTTCTTTTTTTTTTTTTTTTTTTTTTCAATCCATATGACATGCTTTACGAGAAGATACACTTCGATTGAGCTTAAACTTGTGCTACTTAATGGTAGCTTAATAATAACCTACATGCCATAATTTTTAATTGTTACTATGTATAGATGAAGATATTTCTCATAGGATTCATGTAGGATGGATAAAATGAAAGAGTGCTACAGGTGTACTATGTGATAGGAAGATATCTAATAAGGTGAAAGGTATATTCTATAGGACGGTGGAGAGACTGAAAATGCTCTATGGGAGTGAATGTTGAGCATCATATGCACATCATGTTCACAAGATGAATGCTGCGGAGATGCAGATACTAAGATGGATGTGTGGTCACGTAAGGATGGACAAGGTTGACAAGGTTAGGAATACTCACATCAGACAAAAGGTGCAAAAGAAGTTGGAGATAAAATGAGAGAAGGACGCATGAGATGGTTCAATCATATATTACATGGACCCCACATGTCCTGGCTTGTACATTTGATACTTTAGTAGTGGAGGGTGCTAAAGGGAAGAGGTCCGACCTAGAATTGCTTGGAGGGTATAGTGAATTGAGAAGAATTTGTATTTGCATTCGATACATAATTTATCTATGAATTACATAGGTTTATATACAAGAAATTCCTAGGCTATTTAGGACTATAAATCAATAACTAACTAGGAATACTGATTTTCCTTAACAGAGGGAAGTGGTTGCGAAAGATTTACGGTCATTGTATATTAGTGAGGATATAGCTATGAACAGAACAAAATGGAGAAAAGAAGATTCATGTAGACCCTATTTAGCTGTTGTCTCCTATTTTATATTTTGTTCTATTTATTAATATATCAAATGATTTTAAAATTTTCCTTCAAAATATCTTTTCTATAAAAAGTCATTCAATTTTTTTTCCAACTAAACTGTGCTTCGAATTGAATTGATGAAAGTGGATATTGGAAACAAATGATTCATATAGCTCACCCCTGCTACTTTGGGACTAAGGGTTAGTCGTTGTTGTTGCTATATTATTTTTTAACCTTTTCCTGCATTATTGTAGTTCTATAAGATGGTGGAAAAATGATTTTCGTTAATTTTGTTTTTTTGGAAGGTTGTGGAGAAAAGAAAGATTGATGCTGCTCGATTTTCTCCCTTTTGGAATGAGATTATAAAAAATCTCAGGGAAGAAGATTATATTACTAATCTGTGAGTATCATATTTGATAAATTGTTCTATAAATATTGAACTTTTCTTTTGAACATATTTCACAAGTGAAACATATCGTAGATGTTGAAAATGATTTTTTTTTCTAATTTTTTTAGTTATGGATCATTACTGAATGTTGGAACTGAATTATTCTTTCTCGTGTTCTGTTATTACTTGCTTATTTCTTGTAGCCATAACAATTATTAAAACTACACATTTTTTTCGGGTGGTAAAGCTTGTGTCTGTTGCGATTTGTCTCTTACAGTAATTGGGCTAAAGAGCAAGCTTTAGGGTTAAGAGCAAACTCATGTCAATTTTTCGTCTTTTTTAATAAGACATTTAACGGATAGAGTACAAAAAATAGACCGAAGGCAAAAATATAGAGAAAAATTAGTGTATTCCAAAAGTACAGGGACAAACTAATTATTTGAAAAAATATAGGGGACAAAATAGTAATTTTTCCTTTCGAATTTCATATTGCAAAAGAATAAACTATTTATAACTGAGGATTTTGAAAAGAGTGGATGTATGTTTATTTCTTCTTTGTTTTCTACAGATTTTATACTTTTACTTTCATACTTCTATTGTCTCTTTCCTTAAACTATGGTGGAAATGCCTGACTGTGTTCTTCTGGAAACTTTTGAATGAAATTATCTATCTAAGAGAAGAAGCTGATGTTTCAACTGTAAATTTATCTGCGTACTTTTTAGTAGTGCTGTTTTCCCCTTGCTTTTAGCTGATGACTCATTTATTACTCTGGCAGGGAAATGGAGTTGCTTCTGATGCCCAAAAATTCTGGGAAGCTTCCTTTAGTCCAGTGGCCCCTTTTTCTTCTTTCCAGCAAGGTCTTTCTTTGGTCTTTTGCAATATGCTGCTTTATTATCTTCAATTTAATATAATTATTCTTTTTTTTTCTCTGGTGAGATCAAGTGTTTTCAACAATTTCCATAAGCTATGTGAATTCAGACTTTTTGATCTGCTATATATGTATATGTTTAATGTAGATATTTTTAGCTAAGGATATTGCTGTAGAAAGCAGAGATTCACAAGAGGAGCTGTGGGATAGGATTTCTAGAGATGACCATATGAAGTATGCAGTTGAAGAATGCTATCATGCCCTTAAGTTCATTCTGACAGAAATACTGGAAGGTGAAGGCAAGATGTGGTAAGTTTCACTGAAGCATTGGAATGTTCTCAACAGTCTTTTTATGTACATTTGATTTTTTCATCAACGAATAAAAACCTTGTCTTTGTTCTTATGTCTCCACCTCAGGGTTGAAAGGGTATATGGTGACATCCAAGCAAGTATTGAGAACAGGAGTATTCATGATGGCTTTCAGCTAAATAAGCTGTCACTGATTATTTCACGAGTAACTGCACTATTGGGAATTTTGGTATGTCATATATACCTTTGGTTGAGTTTTTGAACTTTGCAACACAAATTCCTGTTTCCCCCAACAGGCATCTGTGTTTTTTGTAAGGAAGCAGATTCATTAAAAGGGGGCATGGTCAAGTACACGAGGCATGCAATTATGGCCACACAATTAAAAAACAAAATTTAGAAACAGTTCGAGCCAATAACATCCACAAAAGTAAAAAGAGAAAAAGACAGAATTTATGTCCACAAAAGTAACATGAGTAAACAGACTTACATGTTACTGATCAAATTCTCTTCAGGTTGATAAAATTCGTTTCTATGTTTTTTGTTCCTTATCTTTGTTAAGAATCTAGGCTCTAGGAGCAATTAGTCAAATTTCAATTAACAATGTATTTAATATTTGGGATTACCTTTAATACAAAATGGCCTAAGCCATTTTGGTTGGTTTACCTTCCTCATTACATGCCATGTATTCAAATTATATTTATCCAATTTGGGATTACCCGCATACTTCACACTCCCCCCTCAAGTGGCTAATTGCCACGTGACCAGCATATGTACGCCCCACATGGGAACTTCCCTCATGCAATACAAGTTCAGGTCTAGGCTTTGATACCATGTTAAGAATCTAGGCCCTAGGAGCAATTAATCAAATTCAATTAACAATGTATTTAATATTTGGGCTTATAAGAATTGAGCTTAACTTTAACAAAAATGGCCTAAGCCATTTTGGTTGGTTCAACTTCCTCATTATATGTCATGTACTCAAGTTATATTTATGCAATGTGGGTACAAGATTCCGATAGTATTAGTTTTATATTTGATTTTATAATTGAACTAGAAACATACCATCAGGATATTTATTATGCTCCAGATCTAGTCCATTGTTTTTCCACCTGAGTTCTAACACACAACAAAATGACATTTTAAATTCATGATCTGAACAATGATAAATAGCCAATATTAAGTGGAGGCAAGCCTGTGTTAAACCTTTTTGAATGAAGGTGGCGAAACATTATGAATGAACTCTGTTTTATATGGTTTGCATGCTGCTAGCACCAATTAAAAATTAGAAATAAGTTCTAGTTTTGGTTGGAATTCAGTACCATTTTTTATCTTCCACATGCTTATCCTATAGTCTACATGGATTTCTGCTTAAAACAGCATAACCATTGGCTGATAATAACCAATCTAAATACTGATCAGAGCTTAGCATTAGTTATAAGTATTAGATGTAATCTGTTACTTAAAATATCAATTCTTTACAATCACTTGTACATGTCTAACTCTATGATTATCTCTCGTGAACCCTGCCTCCTCCACTACCATCAAGAAGCGCTCCCCTAGTTCCATGTGTGTGTGTGTTACAATAAAAAAATGACCGACTAATTTAAATAGAAATAGCAATTCATTTTATTGTGATACTGGCTAATGTTTCATTATATGTTTATTATATTTACTAGATCCACAAATTTCTGATAAGCATTTTTGTACTTTCTATTTCTATTATTCCATCCTTAGAAAGAGACTGAAAAACCGGAACTGGAAAAAGGTGCAATTAAAGCTGTTCAAGATCTCTATGATGTTGTCCGTCATGATTTCTTTTCTGTCATTATGAGGTCTGCAAATCCTGCTTGTGTTTGCTTATGAGTTGCACCTGCTTGTTACACTATCTGCTGAAAAATGTCCATGTGGAAAATAATGCAGGGAGCACTATGACACGTGGAATTTACTGTCAGAAGCAAGGTCAGAAGGCCGTTTGTTTACAGACTTGAAATGGCCTAGAAATGCTGAGTTGGTATGTTATTGATGGTCTTTTTCTTGTTTTCAATCTTAGTAGTTTTAACTTCTTTTCTCACTTTAGGCTAGATTTATTTATTAACTTCAGAAATGTGCAGAAAAAACAGATCAGAAGATTGCATGCGCTTCTAACTATAAAAGAATCTGCTTCAAATATTCCTAAAAATTTTGAAGCCAGACGAAGGCTACAGTTCTTCACAAATTCCCTTTTTATGGATATGCCTGAGGCAAGGCCAGTCCGCGAAATGCTGTCTTTCAGGTTATACTTCTTTAGAATAGTTTGTTTTCACAGGAAAACATGTTTATGATCAGTGTATTTATCATTCTCATTCATTTATGTTGTATTTGCAGTGTGTTCACTCCTTATTATTCAGAGACTGTTCTTTATAGCATGGCTGAACTTCAAAAGAAAAATGAGGATGGAATATCATTACTTTTTTACCTCCAGAAGATATTTCCAGGTATTCGCTGATTGGTGTGCTATGTATGCTTCTGTTTCTGTCTGATTTTGTGGTTTATTGCATACTTGTATGCCTAGAGTTAATTTGGTTTTCCATGCTTATCCTCGGTGATGAAGGCTGCCTAGTTAGCATTGAGGCTTTCTGTGGACATTTTTATTTTTTACATTCTTCACAATCCACATTCCTGATTTGGCTTTAGTTGGTTGGCATATTTATAAAATTATTTTGAGGCCATTAGCTGCTACTAAAGAACCACTATGTTGTTCTTTTAGAACTTAACACTTATTTGGTTTTTCATCTTTATTCAAATTTATTATAACCATGTATGTACGTTATGCTTTATGATAATTATGACTGTAATTTTGTTTTTTTGATGTATACACGTGCAACTATAAAATATATATTCAACTTAACTCAGCTAAGCTTTAATCCAAACTGGTTGACCGTATAAATAGCTGCATAGTTCTGCTTAAAGGTAGTGGTTGAAGTGAAAAGAAGTTTGTCTGGTGGTTCAAAAAGGTTGGCATTACTTTTATGTGATCTACAGAACTTGATTAAGTCTCAATCCTGAACAATTGGAGATAGGCTATAGGGATTAGTTTTCTGCAATTGATTTTGTTTAGGACTGCATCTTCAGAAACATACTAATCATTTTTACTCCACACAATCCTCGGCTTTCCCCTTCTTTGTCTCCTACAAATGTCATTGTGTTCAACTTTCCACACTGATGCACTAAGTTCCTAAATAAAAGCCAATTCCATCCTGTTAGAGTCTAGCTTAAGTGCTTAACCATCTCATATTCTTTTCAGAATACCAGTTATTTCTCGATAAAACCATATCTAGTAGAATACCTACTCTATTTTTTCCCTTCCCTTCCCTGTTTACCACAATGTGTAGGTTGTATTCCCAATCTGAAGGCCTTTTGCTCCTATCCATTTTGCGTTTTGAATTTGGGCTGATTATCTCTAGGAGCTCCATCAACTTCCATGCTAGCATATCAACAATCCATGTTGTTTAGTAAATCCTGTTCTAATAGATATATTTTTATATCCTCCCCCCTCTAGTATAGTGCAAGAAGTCTTGCCTTTACTTCTCTACTTTTTGGTGCTGTTGTGGCACATACTTCAAGAGGAGATATTCCTGTCTGCTAAAGTTTGATTGTCACTTCTCTGGATTAATCGTCTTCCTTGCCATATAGTATTTTTAGCTAGTTGAAATTGTCCAAGGAATTGTATTCTTCTGCTACATGCTTGTGCTCTGAAAATAATCTGGAATCCTCTGACAGATGAGTGGAAGAACTTTCTTGCTCGAATTGGCCGTGATGAAAATGCTTTGGAGACAGATCTCTTTGATAGTAATGATATCCTTGAACTCCGGTTTTGGGCGTCTTACAGGGGTCAAACATTAGCCAGAACAGGTAATTCTTTCTCTGTCTCTCACATAGTATATTAGTGGGAAAGTTGTTTTTGTCACTCTCATCTTTTTTAATCGTTGGGCATACATTAATTTTTAAATTGCTGAATGATGTAATATCCATCTACTTCTCTATTTTATTGCTCTATAACCATGCAACTTCTTATAGTTTGGGAGAAAAGCCATATTGATTTGGTTTGTTGCTTGTTGCAAACTTTTGCTTGTTTCAAATGTTACTGTTATTATTGTTATATTATTATTATTATTATTATTATTATTATTTTCTTTACATCAGTTTATAAATGTATTTTGTTAATCAGTGTGAAACTCATTATCTTCCAGTATTCTGTTCCTCTGTTGTTGTTGTTATTGTTATTCTTCAACAACTTTGCCATACCTCTCTTTCTTCAGTTGCATTTGTAATGTTTCTTGTTTTTGCCTAGATGTGCATGCTGTTTGCAGGTTGTATTTGTTGCTTGGCAATTTTGTACTGCTATCTACCTGTATTTTTTCAAAAAATTTTTCTGTATATTATAATCGTTCTCGATTTCAAAGTGGCTCAAACTTAAAATAAATAAGCGTGTAACAAGCAAGGCTAATTTTGATATCTATGTAATTGATTTTTCTTGTTTTCTTGAGATATTATAAACTTGTTGGGCTGGGATCTGATTTAAATAGAAATTCTGCAAAAGCAACTTCTTGATTTGAACTGACAACTGCTGATGTTTTCATTGTTTGAGTTACAATTAAAAATTGAAAGTTTAATAGGGGTGATCATTGTCTTGGGTTTTTGCAGAATTTTATGTGTTGAATTTATATTGATTAGCTGATTGTATGCATGTGTACTAATGTGATCCACGGGCTTTTTGCTAAATTAACTTTTTTATTTTCAGTTCGTGGGATGATGTACTATAGAAAAGCTCTTATGCTTCAAAGTTACTTGGAAAGAGCAACTGCTGGAGGTTTGCACTTATATTGAAATTTAATCTGTGGCTCTTCCAATGCCTTGTCAGTTAACTTTAGATACTTGCCAATATCAGATGTGGAAGCTGCAATTTCAAGTAATGACACAACCGATATTGGAGGTTTCGAGTTGTCTCCTGAGGCAAGGGCACAGGCTGATCTGAAATTTACGTACGTGGTCACATGCCAAATATATGGAAAACAGAAAGAGGACCAAAAACCAGAAGCAGCTGATATTGCATTGCTCATGCAAAGGTGTGTTAACAACGGTCCTCCCTCCCACTATCCAAAAAAAGAGAAAGAAACAGGAGATTTTTCAATTGCATCGAGTAACTGCTTGTAATGATTGGTTTTTAATCTAAAAATAGTTTGGAATTTGTGAAACTTTTCTTCTGCTTGAAATATTTTGTTATCATACATTACCTAATATTCACTCATTCATTCATTCACTTGTGTTGTCAGAAATGAAGCCCTTCGAGTTGCTTTTATTGACGATGTTGAAACTTTGAAGGATGGTAAAGTACAAAGGGAATTCTACTCAAAGCTCGTGAAGGCTGATATCAATGGAAAAGATAAGGTAACCATTTTTAATTCTTTAGACTGTATCCTAGGCTATTAAATGCAACGTGTTCAGAGGTTTCAAAAAGAAAATTCCTTGGTTATTGATACTTTAGACTGATATTTTTTTCCCTTGAGAGCAATTAGGGTTTGGCTGAGGTTCTGATGGGGAGGTATGGTACATTAGGATGTAAATAATGTTTCAAGGGTCTGAATAATCTGGAAAACTAAAGAGGATGGAAGGTTTTATGGTTAACGAAACTTCTTTAGGTATTACAGCTATGGTTGACTTCACCATGCAATCATAAATCATTATGCTGGAACTTATCTACTTTATTGATTGATCAGCTGGTAATATCCTCACATCACTCGGGCGAGTGCATAATGTGAACTTCTACTTATCTACATATTTTGTCCACTGCTTTTATTATTGATTGATCACTTGGTAATATCCTCACATAAATTGGGCGAGTGCCTCGAGTGAGGCCTACCACCTTGGCCTCGGGCAATGGAGGACCTTGTCAGTTGTCACCTCAAGGGTGCCTAGCGCTTTTGACAACATTTGAGAAGATAGAAAGAAGATGATAGTGGAAGGATTTACAATCCAAAGACCAATTGATTTATTGGCTTCAAGAGATAACTGATCAGAATCAAGCAGCACAAACAATGAATATAATTTTCATCTCCTTATTATTCAAATTTATGCAAAGTGGAAATGCTTCAAAAACAAGACATGACCTATCTTTTGAGCCTTTTTTTTTTTAATGTTATTATTTCATTTTATAGGAAATTTACTCCATAAAGTTACCTGGAAATCCAAAACTTGGAGAAGGAAAACCTGAGAATCAAAATCATGCTATCATATTTACTCGTGGAAATGCAGTTCAGACAATTGATATGAATCAGGTAACTAATTTCCTCTTTAGCACATTAACTGGATTCCATTGGATTATTGTCGATAAGCTAGGAGTTGTCATTCAGTTCTGTATTGTTGAAACTAGGGCCTTATTTGGCTCAACATGTTAACTTCCTATGAATTTACTCTGGAAGTAACTGTTAGTAAAGTTATATGTGTGCAGCTCGTAAGCTGTAGTGTTTGGTTCACAAATTTTTGAGGCGGTGCACCAGCTTTTTATTTGGCTGATTTAGCAACTCCTTAAGTATATTTCAGATCACAATAATATTCCAACAACATAACTGTATTTTAGGGAAGTATTTAAAAAAAATTTTAGTTGATGGCACTCTACTTTAACTGAGGAAGTTGAAATAACTGACCTCCTTAGTAAGTAGCATAGGGTATTGAGGAGGTTTGGTAAACTTCCCTTTGACATTACTTACTTCTAACTAAACATGATTTGATATAATTCCAAAGAAGCTGTACTTCTCTAAGCTCACTCCCTCTGTACCAAATGAATATGTTTTCAAGGAAAGAAGATGGAGAAAAACCTAGAGTTTTCTGTTGCAATCGACAGACTTCTTACTACTTATAGTGTGTGATAAAAGACATAATGTAGAAAAGCTAAACTGCTCTTATAATGCTTCTTGTGGGTGAAAGTTTGATCAAATGAGTAATGTTGGCATTGAAATTGAAAGGGAATCAGGCTTTAGGTTCGTAACTTGGAAGTTTGGTTGGATATACATGGACTTTAGGGGCAAAATAGTGGTGGTTCATTAGCTGGAGTTGTAATAACAAGTTGTAGTCACAGCAGAATTCAAAGGGAAAAGAGGTGGAAGGGAAAATGAAATGGCAGATCATCTAGATGCTACTATCCCTTTTTAACAAGCTCTATAATTTCCAAATTGGAATGAGAAGGTAGTAACTAAATGAGGAATTTCCTAATAGGCATTAATATTGCTAAGAGCAAAACCTTTCATTTCCCAAGAGAGAAGATCCCAAATTCAAATTAATTACCTGACATTTTTAAATGGAAAAGCTTTCAAGAAAATCTAAATTATCCAAATTTAAAACAAAAAATTCTGAATCTTTTCTTGACTGCATTAACATTTCCATGAGAATTATGCTTGCTGTTTTGTTGACAAAGTGATGTATCAAATTTACCTCTCTTCCCGGGAGTTTTTAATGCCAATGGAGCACAGCATTTCAACATGTCTAGCTTGATTATTTGCATATAAATGTTCGAACCATTTCTCTTTGTTAGTGGGACGACTATAAAATTGTTGCTATCCCTTTTATTTTTATTTTTAATTTTCTTTTTTATTGTTTTACTACTCAAATAAAAAAAAAAAAAAAAGAAAGAAATAAGTCCTTGTTCATGGTCCTTGACCTGTTGGTAACTATTAAGAATCCCACATCCCCCCACCGAATAAATACTACATCCATAAAGGGCATAAAAGGATGGAAGGCTAGCTAACTAATTGGTCAGTACTAATCTTTGAGCATTGGTTGGCCCAAGCCCAAGTAAGCCACGTCATATCTTTCAGCTGATGGCTTCTAACCTCTTATCCAATTCAATTCACCTCTGCCCTTCTCAATTTGTAAGATGCCCTTGGTGAGTTCAATGTGATTCATATGAAGTAGCTACCTTGTTATTGTTGGTTTTGATTTTTTCGTTATGAATGTTTTAATGTATAGTATTGATTTTGGTAACATTTATTTTCTAGCTTATTGTTGTTTTTATGACGATTGATATCTTCACTGTAGGATAATTATTTTGAGGAAGCCTTGAAGATGAGAAATCTTCTGGAGGAATTCCATCATGATCATGGTATTCATTCTCCAACAATTCTTGGTGTCAGAGAGCATGTATTTACTGGAAGGTATGTTCCTGTTAAAACATGGATTTCTTCCTTACTTTGAACATTTTATTGTGTTGGCTTATGGCTTGTATTCATATGCAGTGTCTCTTCATTAGCCTCCTTTATGTCGAATCAGGAAACTAGCTTTGTCACTCTTGGTCAGCGTGTTCTGGCTAATCCATTGAAGTAAGCCCATGTTTTACAATGCAAGGGAATTGATAGCTTCATGTCCAATTAAAGATCAGATTTACTGATCATGACCTCCTATATTACTTGCAGAGTCCGTATGCATTATGGTCATCCGGATGTCTTTGACAGAGTCTTCCATATAACAAGGGGTGGGATCAGCAAGGCTTCTCGAATTATCAACATTAGTGAAGATATTTATGCAGGCATGATTACTTGATAAAGATATCTTCCCTGTGTTTCTTTCAATTCTATTGTAGCTGCGTCTTCTGTATTCAAATATGGTTGATCTCAAACCCATTTAGATATGGAATTAAAGTGGAATTACAGTTTAGTAACAAGGAAATATCGAATCTGCACCTCCAAGGGTCCTCCGACTGTGTCTCAGTCATTTTTCTTGGGGGTTGTACACGTAGATGAGCAGGGTTGCGCAGCGAGGGGCGTTGCTCAACATCTTAGCTGAACCCACAATCCTAGTTTTGTCTTTACTGAAAACAAGACCAATATAGGAAAAAGATCTTGAGTTGGTTTACAATGACAACGCAATTCAGGTCAGGTTCATCCCAAAAATGAAGATCTAGTATATTGTTATGAAATCCAACTAATGTCTGACAAGGAAATTTAAAAAAAAAAAAAAATCTAAAGCCAACTGGCAGATGAATTTTAATAGAGACACATCCTCACAATGACTTCATTGTTTCCATGATATATTGAATTTGAAGGACTCCTTGTAATGAATCTATGAAAAGAGTCCAGGCTTTAGATAAGGGATATCTTACTCTGAATACACTCCAAAAAAGGTCTACATTGTGTAATGATAAAACCAAAATCCAATTTTTTTTTTTTTTTTTTCTTTCTTTCAAAATTGGAGTCTGCAAGAATCCTTTCAACAAGAGTTCACAAAACCAAGACTAAGCTATTAAGTGCTCGACCTTTACCTTACATCCAATGCTAAAAAGTTCCTCTTTTTGATAGTCTTTTCCTTTTCAAATACAAGTCTGAATTGCTTAAATGAATATAATACATATATTTCAGTATACAAGCAGCAAAGAAGGAAAATAAGAGAACTCATGTACTCCTTTAAAGAGAGTAGGCTGTTTCATTGAAATGACTCTGAAATTAAGGCAGTTTGTTCTCAATAAAGTGTTAGGGTTTTATTATTTTTATTCTCGGTCCCTTTCTGTAAGTGATCTATAAAGTTAATTTCTCACTTTAGTTCATCCTTATGCTTGGACTCTCTTCCTCTTGTTATATGCATAGGTACCAAATCATTTTCAAGTTTAGAAAATCATTGTGCATTTCCTTTTCTATTTGTAGGGTTCAATTCAACGTTGCGCCAAGGAAATATTACTCATCATGAGTATATCCAGGTTTGATTTCTTTTCTTTCTTTTTTTTTTTTCCTTGGGTACTTCTAACTGTATTCTAAGATAGAACATTTCATTTGAATTTACAGGTTGGCAAAGGACGAGATGTTGGTCTCAACCAGATTGCTTTGTTTGAAGGGAAGGTTGCTGGTGGCAACGGCGAGCAAGTTCTTAGCCGGGACATATACAGGCTTGGACAACTCTTTGATTTCTTTCGAATGATGTCGTTTTACTTTACTACTGTGGGATACTATTTTTGTACAATGGTAGGTGACCACTATATTTTTAACTGCAGACATTATATAATTTTATTTTTGTGGATGAACTGAATGTTGAAATTGGCTGCCATTATTCAAGGCAATCATCATGTATAAGTTACTGTCAACCATGCTAATTTCCATCAAATTGATTAGAGTTTGGTTTTACGCTGATTTTTGAAGTACCTTCCGTTCCTTTCTTTTCCTTTTATATCTCCTTGTGCCAATGACATGGTCAATTTGATGTAAGTACAGGCAATGCAGTGAATGAATATTATGCATTCTTGACAATCACAAAACTTTATATTCTTACCAATGTCATTATGCACCGAGTAATTTGAGGGGTCGAAACTAAAATGCAAAAGGAACTATAGTCAGAAACCACATGATGAATTTTATTCAGATTCTTATTTGTGGTTTTTGACTAATTTATTTTTCAAATTCTTTTCCAGTTAACGGTGCTGACTGTGTACATCTTCCTTTATGGGAAGTTATATTTGGTAAGCTTTTTTTTCCTCAGAATATTTAGGATGCTTGCTATCTATTTATTGCATGACAAACCTATCCTTGTATGGCTGTGTTTTCCTTTCAATTTGATGCATTCTATTAGTAGCCAAGTGTGGTTGTGTTTTTTTGAGGAAAGTATACCTTGAATGTCATTTGCATTGTGATAAGACTCATGCTATGTTTACTGCTCTGTGGCCTCCACTTTTCTATGCGGCAGTGGACATATTTTCAGTTTTCGCTTTCTTGCTCCACAGAACATTGCAGTGTTATATTTCACTGTTTAACTGATATATTCTTCTTTTGTTTTCACTTTCATGATCCATTACTGCTCGGATTGTTAGCTTAACCACCGCCCACAAACCACTCTGTTAGGCCAAGTCCAAGGCCTCTCTCACCACCCCACCCCCCCCAACACAACACAACACAAGACACACACACACACACACACACACACACACACAAAGAGAGAGAGAGAGAGAGAGAGAGAGAGAGGACAACACACACACACACACACACACACACCACAAAGAGAGAGAGAGAGAGAGAGAGAGAGAGAGAGTTGAGTGATGAGTGAAAGAACTGAAAAGAAAAATACTCAGTGCACAAAGCATCTATATTGCAGGAAGAATACATCAATTTTGTTCCGATACTTTGCATGGTTCACTGATGGCATTCCTTTCATGCCACTATCTGTGTTGGGAAGAAAATTCAAGTTAGAGCCAAGATATCATGCAGAACCAACTGCCACTCAGCGCCAGCCCTAAAGCGCAGTTTTTCTCTTTCAAAATTGTCTCACACACACACACACACACACACACACACAAAGAGAGAGAGAGAGAGAGAGAGAGAGAGAGAGTGAGTGAGTGAGTGAAAGAACTGGAAAAGAAAAATACTCAAGTGCACAAAGCATCTATTATTGCATGAATAATCAATTTGTTCCGATTACTTTGATGGGTTCACTGATGGCATTCCTTTCAGGCACTATCTGGTGTTGGTGAAGAAATTCAAGTTAGAGCAGATATCATGCAGAACACTGCCCTCAGCGCAGCCCTAAATGCGCAGTTTCTCTTTCAAATTGGTGTTTTTACTGCTGTGCCAATGATTTTGGGTTTCATCTTGGAGCAGGGTTTTCTGAGGGTAATGCATATCTTATCTTTATTTTATTTTTATTTTCTGAAAGTTCATGAAATAAAATGATAAGAGGTGCTTATATGCCTGCACTTTTGTCTTGATGTGCTTCATCCAAGTCAGTGATGCCACAATCTCTGTGAATCATATTAATTGCTAAGTGATTGATTTTTTTGCAATTAAGTCTTCTGGAATGATGATGTGTGACAAATAAGAGAGGAGTTTGAAGCTTTTGCTTAATTATTCCTTCAAGCACATTAGGTTTAAATATACTAAGGATTAATACAAATATGGTAATAGATACTAGCTATAACTATGTAGTATATTCTACAATAAATACAAAATATTCTCACATATCTACAATATATTCTAACACTCCCCCTCAAGCTGGAGCGTGCATATCATATGCTCCTAGCTTGTTACAAATATAATCAATCGAGGACCCCTAAGGGATTTGCTAAGAATATCTGCCAACTGATCATTTGAATTAATGAAGGAGTTAACAATACAACTTGACTGAATCTTCTGCCTAATAGAGTGACAATCTCTCTCTATATGTTTCTTTTTTTCATTGAACATTGGATTTGAGGCAATATGCAGTCTTCCTTGATTATCACATATTAGTTCCATTTGTTTCACGTTGCCACACTTCATCTCTTGAAGAGGTTGTTTCAGCCAAATAAGTTTACATGTAGCCAATGCCATGGCTCGATATTCTGCTTCTACACTTGATCTAGCCACATCCTGCTTTTTACTCTTCTAGGATATCGAATTTCCTCCAATCATAACACAGTAGCCTGAAGTAGACCGTCTATCAGATGGAGAACCTGCCCAATCAGCATCAAAGTAGCCAACTACTTGTGTATGACCTCTGTCTTCATATAACAAGCCTTACCCAGGAGTACCTTTGATATAACTTAGAAAGCAAACAACAGCATCCCAATGGCTATCACATGGGGATTGGAGAAACTGGCTAACTACACTAAATGCAAAAGAAATACCCAATCGTGTGATTGTGACATAATTAAGCTTACCAACAAGCCTTCTGTATCTACCTAGATCTTTAAATGGTCCCCCTGTCCCGGAACAAGTTTCACATTGGGATCCATAGGAGTATCCACAGGTTTGCAGTCTACCATGCAAGTTTCCCAAGTCCATGGTTTCAAAGTGGCTAAACAAATGCTCCTTAAGTGCAAACCACCGATGTCATGAACATAAACCTCAAGTTTCTCAAGATCTCTTCATGATCATTGTCTATTATGACAATGTCATGAACATAAACCACCAAATAAGTGCATTTACCATGATCTCCTTGTCAATAAAAAATTGAATGATCATCCTCACTTCGACTCATGCCAAACTGCTAAACAACACTAAATCTTCCAAACCACACATGGAGATTGTTTCGAGCCATAAAGAGATCATCGTAGTCAAAATACCAAACCAGCCCTGAGCAACAAAATCAGGTGGTTGCTCTATATATACTTCTTCAGCCAACTCTCCATGCAAGAAAGCATTTTAATATCAAGTTGATGAAGAGGCTAGTGGTAAATAACTGCCAAGAAAGAAGTCGAACAAAAGCCATCTTTGCCACTAGCAAAAAAGTATCACTGTAATCAAGACCATAAATTTGTGTGTACCCTTTTACAACAAGTCTTGTTTTCAAACGGTAAGTTTTATCATCAGGACTAACTTTGACGGTGTGCACCCAACGATAGCCAGCAGTAATTTTGCCAAGAGGCATTTGAACTAGTTCCTAGGTGCTATTATTGTGAAGAGCAGTCATCTGTTCAGTCATAGCTGCAGACCGACTAGGATGTACAATTGCTTCACTGACATTCTTAGGTATAGAAACAGTAGATAAGGTAGAAACAAAGGTAAAATAGGAAGGAGATAAACGGTGATAGCTCAAGAAATTATAAATAGGATGAGGATTTCGGGTAGAAAGAATACCTTTTCGAAGAGTAATGGGAGGAGTAGCTGCCTCTCTGAGTGGCATGACCGGTGTTGGAGAGGAGTCACTAGGTTGTGTACTTGCATACAAAAGATTGTTAGTATTAGGACGACGAGAATAGACCTGCAGTGGTCGAGATGGAGCTGGAGTGGGAAGAATAGGAATTGGAAGGACTGCAGAAACTGATTGCTAATGAGTTGGTTGGTTAGGAAAATAATGAGTCGTCTCGAAAAAGGTGACATTTGTAGAGAAATAATTTAAAAGAAACTGGGCCATAACATTTATATCCTTTTTATAGACGAGAATATGCTAGGAAGACGCTTGATTGGCTTGGCCTGATGTTTATCTTTCCCATGAGTATGATCATGGACAAAACACGTACAACCAAAGATGTGGAGAGAAAGACTAAAGTATGAGCTGTTTTAATGAGATGACAGTTCTCTCTCGGGAACTCCATTTTGTTGAGGGGTATAGACACAAGAAGATTGATGAGTCATACCCTAAGAAGACATAAACTCATTAAATGGTTGAGAAAAATATTTTCAAGCATTATCATTGCGCAATGTTTTAATGGAGACACTGAATTGATTTTTGAATCTTAGTACAAAATTTTTGAAAGATAGAGAATAAATCAGAACAATTCTTCATTAGAAACAGCCAAGTACAACGAGAGTAGTCATCAATAAAAGTATAAAAATAAGTAAATCCCGAAGTTGTACTACCACGACTAGGACCCTAAACATTTGAATGAACAATGTCAAACACAAAGAGACTTTATTATTGACACTCTTAGGAAAAGAAACACGAGACTATTTCCCAAGTTGATAGGACTCACACTCTAAAAACATATAAGGAAGATAAACTAGGAACTAAACATTGAAGTTTGGTAAGACTAGGATGTCCGAATTGGTTGTGAAGAAGTTCAGCGGAAGCAGTAGAAGCAAAAGCAACAATGGATCTAGGAGTGGAGAGATAGTACAACCCTTGTGGCTCATATCCTACTCCAATCATCTTCCCCGTATGCTGATCCTGCATAAATACATAGTCAGCTACAAAGGACACAATGTAATTAAGTTGTTTGGTCAGTTTGCCGATGGGAAATTAAATTATAAGGACATTTAGGAGTGAACAGGACTGAGGTCAAAGTTATTGAAGAAGTGGGAAGGACTTCCCCAATGCCTTTAACCTCAGTTTGTGAACCATTAGCTAGGGTAACTGTAGATGAAGTTGGAGATTTGGTGATAGTAGAGAAAAGTGTTTCATTACCAGCAATATGATCAAAAGCGTCAGGATTAAGAACCCAAGGACCATTAGTTGTGGTTTGAGTTAGACAAGCAACTGAAGTGCTAGACTGAGATATAGAGGATGACTGCTGTATTGCCTGTTGTTTGGCAGCCCGAAAGTGCACATATTCATCATAATCAGATTCTATCAAGGTTACTGAATTACTTGATGTACCAGGCAAGGGAAGAATGCCAGCTCCATTACTCTGAACCAAATGAGCAACTGGTCGTCCAGTACTAGGAGATTGGTGATGAGGTAGTTTACCATGCAATATCCAACAAGTTTCCCAAGTATGACTAGGCTTGTCACAATGAGTGCAGTGTTTAGATTTGTTATCTTTCCACTTTCGACTGGCAGTCTATACCGCAAACACAAAGGCTTCAATATTAGGTGATGGAGCTGGAGTCACAGAGATGCGAAGAAGACGAGCAGAGATATCTTCGAAAGTGGGAATGTCAGAACCTGTCAGCATTTGATCTCGAACTGAACTAAGATTAGGTCGAAGACCTATGAGTGCCAAGACCATGAATAATTTATTCTTTTGCTGTTCTATGAGTAGTGATACTTTCTGAGAACACAATAATAGAATTAAATTCATCCAGTAATGTTTCAACTTGTCCAAGATAACTAGCCATATCTTGTTGATTTGCTGCAGATTGATAATATTAGAGACAATTTTTTATATTTTGTGTATGTCATTAGTATATAATGTCTTGGCTTTGGTCTAAACTTTATAATAGGTTTTGCAAGATTGAAATAGGGAAATTAGTTTGGGATCAAGAGAGTGCCACAACGAGCTATATAATTGGGTATCAATTTTAGACCATGTTTCCTTATCTTTTTCTCCAATATCAGTGACATTTTTAGTTAAATGATCATCATAACCTTGTCCCATAAACCATAGTTCAACAAAAGAAGACCACGAAATATAATTGCTGCTGCCTAGGAGTTCCACAGTGGTAATAATAAGGGAATTAGAGAAAAGGGGCTTAATGAGGGTAGATTCAGCCATGTTGTAGGAAAAAATAGGAATTTTTGTACTTTGTACCTTGCTGTGAGTACCTTAGCCTTGCAAAGAGAAGGAAAAATGAAGAGGGGTGACCGGAAAAGTGACCATTGGACTCGGGCAAACCGGTCGGTGGTGTCCGTTGAAGGAGACGTTGCCGAAAAGTGTCTCACACGCCAGCGAGTGGGCAGTGCCGGAAAAGTTGTGGCGGCGCGTGGCAGTCAACGGCTGAGTTTCCGGCTCCGAGATTGTGTCCTGGGTCACCAGAAGCTTGTGGACTTTTCTATGGCAGCTGTGAGAGTCAACTCCCTGTAGGTATATGCTGTTTGAAACCGGCAGTGATGTTTTTGTGATAAGACAGTAGCGGGAAGAAAAGGGATGCAGAAACAGAATTCGGGCAAGATAAAAGAAAGAGGAGAAAGAACAATCAAACCTTTGTAGGCTCTGATGCCATGAAAAATAAGAGATGAGTTTGAAGCTTTTGCTGAATTATTCCTTCAAGCACATTAGGTTTAAATTTACCAAGGATTAATATAAATATGGTAATAGATCCTAGCTATAACTATATAGGATATTCTACAATAAATACAAAATATTCTCATATATCTACAATATATTCTAACAATGTGGAATATAACTTTGAGAGCTTTCAGAGAATGAACTCATGTTACTATGTCACTAAAATATTATTTAAATTGTTAATAAAATATATTATTGGAATACAATTGATCCCATTGCTCTTCACTTGACACTGGCTGTGTCTGCGAAATTTTGCCAACTTGGCTTAATTGTGATGGATCATGTCTGTTGAATTATCAAATAAATTAAGGCATCCTTTTCCTTATGTTGGGCATTTTGAATCTGACACCACTAGTTTTGAGGATGCCTAAAAATTTTTCCTTGTCAATGTTTTTACAAAATCTTTCTTGAGTTGCTTCCAACAGATGGTGCTAATTCATTGCTTACTAGAATTATTTGTTTTATTTTATTTTTGTTATTACTTAGGTAGCTTGTACTTCATTTTATGCTATCTAAAATCTGACAAAATCTGACGTTACTGAAAAATAGTTGTGGTATATTTGATTTTAATGCTTATCTAGTGGAGTTGTGTATATTTGTAAGATTCTTTTGCTGGATGCCAAGAAGATTAATGGGTAATCTTCTGTTGAATGCTGCAGGCCATTGTCAGTTTCATCACAATGCAGCTTCAGCTTTGTTCTGTCTTCTTCACATTTTCATTGGGCACAAGAACACATTATTTTGGTCGAACCATTCTGCATGGTGGTGCAAGGGTATGGCTCCTATCTCTTTATTCTTAATTGCTCTCTCCTCCGGCCCCAACACCACCATTTATTGTGCAATAGAGTAAATTAAAGTCTTTGATCTACAGTACCAAGCTACTGGTAGGGGATTTGTGGTCCGCCATATTAAATTTTCTGAAAACTATAGGCTCTACTCCCGCAGTCATTTTGTTAAAGGGTACTCCTCTCTCTCTCTCTCTCTCTCTCTCTCTCTCTCTCTCTCTCTCTCTTCTCTTAATATGCTGGAACTGCCAAGATGAAGTATTGTTTTAAGTCATGGAAGGTACAAGGCCTCCTGTATATACTTGAGATTCGACAAAGTATTGCGTGCAAGGACTAATAGGTTCCAGTGTTTTCATCACTATAGTGCAGCTTCGATGAACTTTAGTATTTCTGTTCTATCTATTCTACATATTTTTTCATATAGGGCCCATCATAGTAATCAACATTTTATTTTAAGTGTCTGTAATTATTCAATTCTTGCATGGTGGTTGGAGCTTTTATTTAGTTTGTGTTATGTTTGTCTCCTCTTATCTCATATTATTCTTAATTATGATTTACATACCCATTCCTCTCGACCTTAACTTAAACACTTAAACCTACTATTACTTTATGTTTAGAGCAATATACTTGAGTAAATTTAATTAACAGTCTTTGAATTTATACTAGTACCTACTAATAAGCTACTTAGGTTTCAGGCTGGTTTGTGGCACGACCATATTTCAATTATATTCTAATAACTATATAGCTTCACTAGCTCCCCTGTCAAGATGGAAATCGATGCATAGGTCATATGTTAAATGGGTACTCTCCCCTTCCTGGTCCTCATCTTTTCGACCCGAATCTTTTAGGATATCACCTCTTCTTATTCTCTCGTCACTCTCCTTATTCTCTCTCCGTCGTAGGTGTTCATAAGTGCGATGTAGAATGATTACCACGGAAGAGTGGATATGTCTAACAATAATTTGTCTTCTTGGCATTCAGGCTAGAAGTTGTGCTTTTGCTGATTGTTACCTGCGCGTATGGTTATAGAATGGACAGGAGGCTTAAACTCTATTTAGTAACAAGTAAAATCCTTTGTATGTAAAAGTATCGATATTTTTGGAGATATAAAGCCAATGGAAAGGTCTGAGACGACCAAAAAGCATTGATCATGATACCTTTTTAGGCTACTGGGTATTGAGCATTTACCTGTAAAAATGAATTTCTTTGCAATGGATAATTGAACTCTGGAAAAGGAATCTCAATTATTATTTTACAAAAAAATTCATTCTACGATATCATGTGTAGACATGGCTAAACATATAGATATAGATTTTATAACGTCTATGACATACAAGATTTTTTTTATTTTTTATATGGGATCCGTTTGATTCATTTAATTCTTGCTCGAGCCGGATGATGATAAAATTGTCATGTCCGGTTCTTTCGGAGGATGGATCTATAAGAATTCACCTTATCCAATAACAAAAAACCTGAAACTTTGAATGATCCTGTATTAAGGAAGCTAAGATTGGCTAAGGGAATGGGTCATAATTATTACGGGAGAACCTGCAATGGCCCAATGATCTTTAATATATTTTTCCAGTAGTAATTCAGGTACTATTGGCGTGTAATGTTAGGATTAGCGGTTCTAGAGCCGTCAATGATTGGTGAACCGCGGATCCATTTCAACTCCTTTAGAAGATTTGCCTGAATGGTATTTTTTTTCCTGTAATTTTCCAAATACTTTCGTACAGTACCCATAAGTTATGGGTGTTCTTTAAATGGTTTCAGTACCTGAGGATTATTTAACAGTACCCTTTTTTGGAGAATGTTATAAATTCCAAATCCATTTCGTCGCCCAGTTGCGACAACCGTCGTTTTTGATTGGTACTCAGTAGCCCTTTGGTTTAGGTTTGGAGCAACATTACTATTGATAAATCCCTAACTTTAAAGGTCTTTTTTCAAATATGATTCAATTGTAAAATAAAATATCATAGCGAAGGAGCGGGTGTGTCGACTGATTCCTCTAGGGAAATGTTGCTTCAAGGTGAATCTATCTCGTCTCTTCTTACTGAGTTAGTAAGTTTCGGTTTATTGATTCGATTCAAATACATCTGGTCGTTTTATACATAGACTCACCTAATATTCATATTTAAATTGTTTTATATTGCCAAGTGCTTTCTGGAATTTTGCAGTGGCAATATAATGTATAGTCACTGGGGCAAATAAGAGTTTTTATTATGTCGTATTCTGTGGGTGATTAGGGTCGTCAAAGTTATGACTCCTCTATTTGACTAATTTCTCGTAATTGACTTTATATTGTATTCATATAAATGCGATTTTGTTTTCTGTTACAAGAGATTGTGACAAGAATGGATTGGAACATAATAATTATGGCTCATTCTCTATAGAGGTAGGTAATTATTATGGTATGTGTTTCATAAATAGGGCATGTTTGGGAGGAATAAAAGCTTCCGGATGTAAGGGCGGAATTTGTGGTGGGGATGAAGTAACTAGTATTATCTTTTTTCTAATCCTTTCTTTAATGCATCTTCATTATCTTTCTTCAACAAGAATAAAACATCTATGATGACCTATGTGTCTCTTTAATTAATTGTAGAGACGCGAGCTATCTTTCTCGGGTCCCTCTTAAGATCAGGTTAAGCTCATAGTGCGTTGGAGCACTACAGGACTTTTATATATAATTATATCTCGATATATTCGAAGAGGATACGGATTACTTTTAGGGACCTCTACCGTATGTATCAATTTAAAAGGTCCGGATTTGATAATTGGGGGGTAAATCATTCGTTGTTTGGATAAATCTGTTTCTAGAAACAATGATTAGGGTGGACACCTTTTTTTTGGTGGATAGAAAGGGGAGGTGGGCTAATATTTTATTCTCACGATCCGGCTAACAGAATATATCAGGGGTGTTTCAATTTTTTCATGTTGACCAGTTTTTGGTGTTTCTCACAATCGCCCTATAACTTAAAGAACTAGAAATGCAAAATTATATTTTTTTGCAAGGAGATTAGGTCCGTAATTTTCTTTGATTTTTGGTCAAAATCATATTAGCCTTTTGTCTAGAAGTATTTTCAGGGTACAACACATTCTTAGGATAGTTCCAAAATTTAGGAAATCAAACAGTAAATAGATATCGAGGGTTAAAGTAGCCCTCTTTTGGGTGTTTATGATAGGGACTCTATTATAATTTTTATATAGGACAAGCCTCTCTCTCTCTCTCTCTCTCTCTCTCTCTCTCTCTCTCTCTCTCTCTTCATGCATGTACTTGATCCGGAATGGTTGTCTAATTTGTCTTCTGGCATTCAGGCTAGAAGTTGTGCTTTTGCTGATTGTATACCTCGCGTATGGTTATAACGAAGGGGGTGCGCTGTCCTACGTTCTTCTTACTGTTAGTAGTTGGTTTATGGCTCTCTCTTGGCTTTTTGCACCATATTTGTTTAATCCAGCTGGATTTGAGTGGCAAAAGTAAGTACTGTTTCTTATCTTTCTGTTAAGTGCAAGTTTGCCCCCTCATTGACTAATCTTTGATTTTGTATTTTTAGGACTGTTGAAGACTTCAGGGATTGGACAAATTGGCTTCTCTACAGAGGTGGAATTGGTGTCAAGGGAGAAGAAAGCTGGGAAGCTTGGTGGGATGAAGAACTAGTAATACTTTCCTCCTTTATCATCTCTCTTCTTTTTAACAACAATAAACACTTGTGACTATTCCTTAAATTGTGAAGAGGGCCTTCTTTCCTAGACAGGTTAAGCTCATAGTTTGGACTCAGGCTATGTCTTCGGGGAGGATAATGAACTAGTAGATCATAATGATCTTGGGGAAATCATCTTGTTGGATCTGTTTCTAGAAACATGAAGTCATTTTCCTTGAAAGAAGTATAATTTTTTCCTCGATCTAGAAAACGGTTTTTATTGACCAGTTTTTTTCTAATCGCCCTAAACATGCAAAATGCAAAAATATTTTTGAGGAGAATAGTTTTGATTCTCAAACAAAGCCTTGCTGGGAATTCAAACATTGGATAGTTAAATTAGAATCCAGTGTTCAAGCCTTGGGGTTAGATAAGCCTATAAATTTTATGCAAGTCCAGAGGCAGTTCTACCTTTCTATTCATTGTCATTATTTATTGTTATTATTTAATTTCATCGTTTCTTGTTAATTGGTCTACAGGCGCATATTCGGACTTTCCGTGGGAGGATACTTGAGACCATTTTGAGTCTAAGATTCTTTATTTTTCAGTATGGCATTGTATACAAGCTAGATATACAAGGATCAAATACATCATTATCGGTAACAGCTCTCTTTGTTAACAGATGCTATTACTCTACTGCATTTTCATGAGACTGACATTTGATCACCAGTCTACGTACTTGCCTCTTAATGTTTTCTTCTACCCAGTTTAATTCCTTTCTGTGGAAGAAAGCATTCTATTGAATCCTATATGAGCATGGGTCAAAAAGAATGCTGCAATAGTGGCTACTTTTCTGGATAGCTCCTGTTTTGCTTGTGTGTGATTTTCCTTGTGTCTATAGCATGGAAAAAAAAAAACTGAAAGGTTGATGTTTCTGCAGATATATGGCTTCTCATGGGTTGTTCTAGCTGTGCTTATAGTCCTTTTCAAGGTGCCGATATTAAAACTTATGAAACCCCAAATAATGAGCTTTCATTCTCTACCTGGCTTGGGATATATTTTGGAATTGAATCAATATTTAAAAACTTTGCTTTCTCAGGTTTTCACCTTTAGTCAGAAGATATCTGTCAATTTTCAGCTTCTATTGCGCTTCATCCAAGGTGTCTCCTTCTTGATGGTATTGGCTGGTTTAGCAGTTGCAGTCATATTCACAGAATTGTCAGTTCCAGACATTTTTGCTTCTATCTTAGCATTTATACCTACTGGATGGGGAATTTTATCTGTGAGTGCTCTTCAACTGAATTGTCTTTTTCTGGCGTCAGCATAATTGTGTACCTCACTAGAGAAACCCCTCTAGATTTTTCATAGGTTTATACCAGGATAAATAGATATTTGTGCTTTTGATGGGCAAGAAAATTTTTTGTACAGCCATTGTTTTATCAGAACTCACTTTTCCATTGAATTTCTTGGTTGAAAACATGTCCTTTTAGGTGGTGTTATTTCAAGTGGGCATGTTGTATCATAACTATGCACAATCTTGAATTACTAGAAACCAGCAACTACTTGCTGAGGAAGAACGTATTTTCAAAGAAGGCCCTTATCTAGAAAAGGCTGAAAAAATGGACACCTGGCTGGATAGGTACAGATACCTCGTGAGAATAATTTGTCAAGAGTTATGCCAAACATCAAAAGGCCAAATTAGTTTATTGGTCAGAAAGAGAGCAGATGAATAGGTGGTCCAGTTGATGTCCTATAATTTAGGTATCAGGGTATTTATTTATTTTGAACCAACTCAATTTAATATATAATTTCAGATCGCTGCTGCATGGAAACCTTTGATTAAAAAGCTTGGATTATGGAAATCCATTCGTTCAATTGCTCGTCTATATGATGCTGGGATGGGGATGCTTATCTTTATTCCAATTGCCTTTTTTTCATGGTTCCCATTTGTATCAACATTCCAAACAAGGCTCATGTTCAACCAAGCATTCAGCCGAGGATTGGAAATTTCTCTAATTCTTGCTGGAAACAACCCCAACACTGGGATATGATGAGACATCCTAACAGTGTATGTATCTTTCTAAATCTGTTTTGTTTCCCTTCCTAAATTCAGTTCCCTTTTTTTAAGTCGAAATCCTATTATGAGTTAATTATGTATTTGCCATATTTTTGCATGCTGAGAAAGTAATGTGTTGTTTGTGATATGATATCGGAACTCTTGGCACATTATACCATGCCTACCTGATATATTTGTGGGCATGCATGTTTTTTGATAAAATTGTGTACCAGTGCTCGGTCTTTGTTACCCAATAAGAATTTCCAGTCACTGATGGAGGGGGGAAATCTTTGCATGAGAACATTTATAGTAGTGTGCACAAGAATTTTCAATTATTTTCTTATAATTACTAGTTATTGTACCTGTTAGTTCCTGATCTCCTTTCCTTCATTTTACCGATTATGTTGATTTAATTTGTATGCTGTTCTTCACGTAAATTTCCAGTTGCTGCTTTCATTCTTTGTTATCTGTGAAAGTTCTTATACCCTTTTCCCCTTTACAGTTTGCCTTGTAAAACAGTTGTGTGAAAATATGAGCATCGGGGCTGGGCAGACAACCTGTCGTTTGTAACTGCTGCTTCAGAATCAGCTTTGGTTGCTGTCGTCGTCGGCTATTGATTAGTATCAGTGTCACTTTTGGTTCCTGTTATTTTCACCAATTACACTATTATTTTTTCCCATTAGTTGTAATTTTGTGTACATAAAAAATTTTGGGTACAACTTTTTGATTTGCTGTGTGTAGGTAAAAATTCTCAAGTTACAACAATGACTAATCAAATTTAGCTGGTAATTGAGTTTCCTTAAAAACAATTGGAAGAAGCCTCAATTTGTTCCCTAAAATTAGACTCAATATAGAAGAAAGCCCCGAAATGAGCTTTCTTTTTTTGGTCAATTTGCTCCACTATATTCCAATCGATGACCAATTTTAATTTAATTTTTACCCAGTATCCCACTCAATAATTTAATCTCTATCAATATACTGAAGCATCTCTCTCTCTCTCTCTCTCCGTCTCTGCTTTTCTTTATCCTTTTGATCGTCAGAAATTTCTGCAATTTCTCAAACTTTTCTGTATTCAATCTTCCCGCTTGTTCACTCCACTTCAATCCCTGTTTTTATTCTACTTATTTTACCGTTCTTTTATCCCCTCCGTTATATCAAGATACGCGAGTAAAACAGATGCTGGATTTTGGTGTTTTATTCTTTTTTTATCATACCCGAATTTATTGAGGAGAGGACAAGAAGTTGGTTTTAACATCAGTACCCACATTTATACAGATGAAGAAGAAAAGTAAAAGTTGGGTTTTACACTGGTTTGTAATTCTTGGGTGTTTTTACATTCGCGGAAATACCTAATACTTCACCAGAAGATCTATTGTACAAGATCAAGTCTTAGGCTTTTTGCGGTTTTTTTTTTTTTTATTTTTTTTGAAACTAGGCTTTTTGGGAATTTAGTTATTCATCACCATCTTATTTTGGAAAAGTTGAGGATCAGGGTTTGGATTTTGATTTTAAAATTTCTCATCTGTTGGGTTTTGATTTTAAAATGGAGCTAACATCAATTAACGTTAAAGCCTTTTCCTTGTGTGCATTTTTTTTTTGTTTTAAATTGAATTTTCTGTTTGTGTTAAATGGACATCAATCAAATTATTTTCTTGTATCAACTTTTGTTGATTTTGTTATATGATGCAGAATTAAAAATACCCACATTAGAAGGGTGCACTTGATGTGAATATGCATTCATCACTTATTGCATGTGAGTAAATACTTCCAATTTGACAATATAATAAATCTTCTTGTTTTCACATGCATGTATGATAAAATATTTTGTGCTTGTATTTTTATAATCTTTTTTGTTTGATTTGTATTCTTTTATTCTACTTCATAAAAAAAAAAACGTTCGTTTTTATACTTTTGTATATTGAGTTTAAGTTCAAAACGACTAAATATTTGAGATAATAGCTTAAATAAAGAATTTTGAAATTTTTATATAACAATTTGCCAAAATAAATTCCACAAATTATGAATAATGCAATTTTTTTGGAATGCAAAAACAATGCAAGTATTAGTGCATTATCAACTAATCGTTGATGTCGATGTTTAATCGGCAAAACACCAATGCGTTGAGTGTAATCAATTTGCATTGATGATTCATCTAGATAAGCTCATGTGACATAATTTCAGAGTATTAAAGATGCTTACACACTATGTTTAGTTAAAAATAATTTTTATATTTTCATACAAAACGTAATATATAAATGTCACGACCCGATTCCATGGGCCGGACCGGCACTAGAGCCCAGGTAAGCTTAAGGCCCCCGAGGCCCGTAATAAGCCTGAAACACTAGAATCTATTATCTCGGTATAAATCTCAACATTTAGCCCATATGATTATAAAAAATAGACCTCAATATTTTATTATTTCTCGGCCCAAGTTTATCTTCTACAGCATTCCATAGTTCGGGCCCAATTTACAATACATCACATTTCTAACATGAGCTTACAGAATTATTTTTATTTGTAAAATTGTATTTTTTTTACTATATTTTTATTTATAGAAACATCAGGAACTGGTTATGGTGTGTAATTTTAGTTATTTTCCTTCCACAACCATCCCGATTTTTGGCAATTAAGTTGAGTTGTATTCCTTGAGGTGTCTTTGGGATTATGGGGATTTTACTATCATTACCAAGGGTTGTCTCATCTGTTGGTGTGCATTTTTTTATATCGACCTGGGAGTTAAAAAAGTGGAGAGGGCTAACAATCAAAGTGCATAAACGTTTATAAACAAGCTTTTCCTTTGTGTGCATTTTTTCTTTCTTTGTTCTATTAACATTGAATTTTCTGTTCTCGGCCTGTCATAAAAATTGGAACAATCTAAATCGATTGAATATTCTTGTTATCAACTTTTTTGTTTGGGTGATTATTGTTAGTTATTAAATGATGGCAGAAATTTTAAAAAGGAAATATCCCGGGCTACAAGTATAGCTAAGAGGTGGGCTACGGGTCTTGTAATTTGTGTGAATTTTTATTAGCATAATTATTTCAGAGACTATGTTGGCATTTGTTAGAAGTAAATATACTATGGCCTCCAATTTTGACCATATCATATTTCCTTCTATGAGTTACGCATCTTTAGCTGTGTTTTTATCACATAGACACTGATAAGATAAAAAAATTTATTTTTAGTTTTGTGTTCTCTCGTTTTCTCTAGTATTGTTTTTTATAACTCCTTTTTTGGCTATTTTTGTATTTGTATTTTTTTTTACAATTTAATACAATATACCATCACTTAACCAAAAATTAAAGGGCGTTAAACAGATATGTTATTATACTTTTTGTTTTATTTGAGTAATATAATAAGTTCCATAAGAATCTGTACTAAATTACTTTGAGGATAATTGGGATTTATAATTATAGGGAAGAATAGGTATGAAGAAATCTTATATTATTTTATCCCTAGGGAACAAATTTGCGACGATTTCACTAATTATTTCTCTAAATATTCATTTATTGAATCAGTAATATGCTAATTTGGTTTATATATGGAGATGGCAATTAATATATTATTGCATTTCAGAGCAGATATTATGAGTAAATCCGCCTATCTATCACCAAACGTAATAGTTAATCGTAAAAAAATTTGTCAGATGTTTTTAAATCGGTTTTAAATACATATATTTCTGGGGTTTGTCTGGGGTATAGATGATGATTAAATACACATTATCTCGTCCTCTATTGAAATGATTTTTTCATTTTTTTGATTCTAAGTATAAGTATTTCATGTGTAACATTATAAAGGTATTACATGAGGATTATGTGAAAGATCGCCGCTGTACTAGACACTAAACACCTGTATTTTTAGTATTTAAAATAATTACATTTTTTTATATTTTTTATTCTTACATTTACAAATACGTAAATATATTATATAATGCTCACACGACCCAGTATATACCACTCGGTGACGTGACCGAGCACTAGAGCCAAGGTAAAGCTTAACGTCAATATACTCCACTATAATAGAGGACCTAAAACGTTAATAAGCCTGAAAAAACACCTAAGATAACAATTTTAATTATCTAAACTAATATAAATTAGGTAATCTTAATCTCAAACATTTAAGACACACTATAATGATTAAATAAAATAAATAGACCTCAAATAATTTATAAATATATTTTATATCTCGGAAACTCCATATACAAGTTTAAATCTATCTAGCAACTATAGCATATTCCATAGTATATAATATCAGGGCACACTAAAAATTAAAAATATTAAACAATACATCACATTTCTACATGAGCTTACAGAATTTAATTTTGTCTATTTAATACAAACCGACTAATATATGTAATTTACAAACTGCGGAGATTAATAACAACTTAAACCTGACTTTTATTGATTTTATAATTAAAAATCACAATAAAGCTTCTTTATATCATATAATTTATACAAATTTTTATGATTCAAATATAACAACTTAATAGAAGAATTAACTTTGAGGAAAAAATCTTTCTTAAAAATTAATCTCTATATAATAGACAGTGTACGAAGAAAATAATACGTCTATAACACTACGAAATATTATAAAAGGAGATAACTACTTTATATCACACCAAACCTCCAGAATATCACCTCACCATCAACACCTCTAACCACCTCATCCTACTACACTACCGGCTATCACCACCTGTCTCTTTATAATAAACTTCGGTTCATTCACTCGCTCTTCACTCTCTATACTCTCTCACCTCACCACCTCCAACTCTTTAGTATACATAGCTTTTTATACACATAATTACATAGTGAAATAATTATAGAACTAGGAAAATTTCTCTATTGCTCTGCGCCGAAGAAACATAGTCTAAACCGGATTAAAGAATTGAAAAAAAAAAAAAAATAGGAGGCAGGGTTGAGCGCCAAGCTCAATGAGTAGGGTTAGACAACCCTCTCACCCCACACAATCACACATACCCTATAATAAATCAATTTAGTCCTCCGACTAGTTATATGATTATACAGTTTGTCACACAAATGGCAATATAACAGCAATAACAATTATTATCATCTTCATATAATCACATCACGTGCAAATTAGTCAGTGGCGTCACCGAAAACCCTGATGAGCCGTCCTCCCCCATCCTCTCCAACGTTTGCACTAGGGAACCGATCCCCCATATATGGCTGACCGGTCTAATCCTCACTTGGCCAACCCTTTCATTGTTTTTCCATTCTCTCGTTTCTTTTCCATACCAATAGGAGGCCACCCTGTGGTTTTTCATATCATCCATATCATATCATCCCCATCCATGGCCGACGGTATCGCAGACTGCCCTCACAAACCCATGGTGACCCACTTCATTCCAACTCCACACAAGCAAAGTAATATAAAGCACATCACAATTAATCAAATCATTTCCAATAATAACAATAATGCAACACAAAATAACAATTTAATAAGTAATGCATGATAAGCATTTAGCCTGGAATGTATGGATGCAAATGTAGGTGAATGATGCGAATTATCTAACACTACTCACAGCTCTTTATTGTCATTTAGAGGACTATGTTATGAATTAATCTCAAATAATTCCACAATAACCTAGATCGTGCAAACCACTAGATTCAACAAAATAGATTGAATAAGAAAAGGTTGCGTTAAATACAATTAAATTAATTAAATAAATAATATTAACAACAACAAGATAATAATAAATAATAATAAATAATCATAATAATAATAATAATAATAATAATAATAATAAACAATGATAATCAAAATGAATAAATAATTGAATAATTAAATAAATAATAATGATAATGATAAAATAATTAGAGCACTATATTTATTATGTACTAAGTTATAGAATTAATCTAAATAAATTTAT